GTATGTGTATTTATTCAGACAGTATAAAAGTTACAAAGAGTTTTTTACATGTTGTAAATAATGGTAAATAAGAGATGGCACCTAACGCCTCCCTCTAGTGACAAATTATTTAGTAATTATTTAAATATAATTGCAGAAAAGTAGCCCTATGTAATCTGGTGGTTGTTTGGCTTTACAAATTTATCGGGTTTCGTGAAATTTGTTTATGTAAATAATGGTAAGACTTGATAAATGTATTACAGTTTAACATATAAGTAGTATATTGATAACAGTTAATTTTATCCACATTTTCAATATTTTTATATAATATATGTTTTATATTATGTTTAGTTAAAATCAAATAATGATCAAATTCTGTCCTTTCCTCTAGAACCATGTATTTATTTATTTTTTGTTTGTTCCTATAAATGAAAGTAGAAAATAAATGTTTGAGTTTCACAACTTGAGAATAAGATGAAATTTTGATGAATTTGATTGTTATTTGATCTGTAAATTTTATAAATATATTCTGAAATATATATAGCATACAAATGTATATTTTATATTTTACTTTTACAACAAACAAATGTAAATAATACAGTAAACTCTTGTCCATTTGATCATTAATCAATTAATTTTTGAAACAACCGATTTTACTTCCCATCCACTTCTTGTTCTTGACAACACATCTAAATGATTGACAACCTCCACTATGGTGTGCTCGACCATTTCTTTCCTCCGTAGCAGCAATGATCTCGTCTCAAGTATTGTAGATCACAAATCTATGTGTAGACTATTTTATTAATGTAATACTGAAAAAAGTCTAGGAGAGTAAGATTGGCTTCTTGCATACCACGAAATAGGACTTCCTCTCCATGTCAAACAGTTGGGCAACCTACTGTTGAGTGTATCTCAAAACATTACAACTGTAAGGCATGCCACAAGTGTGAGCCAACACTCAGTGATTAAAAGGAAAACTCAATATTTCTCAACATTTCAACATACCAAAGAGATTGGTTGATTATTACCCAGGATATTTGATGAAATCGTGGACATGTTTTCAACAACCCTGTATTGTTTTGGATGCTGCTAATACAGTGTACACAACTATAAAGTGACAATACTTTGTTCAGCTTAGCTCCAGTTATGTTTAATCTTGTAAATCAAATTTTGTTAAGTGACAAAAGTCCAGTAATATTTGTTTTAAAATATGTTCTTAGGATTTATTTTTTATTTGTTAGTGAAATTATAATATTTGTGCCTTTCCTTTTGTTCTAAAAGATGATAACCTCAGTTACTTATCTTTTAAACTTCATATCTATGAGAAGACTATACTATAAACTAGAAAGCAGACTTCAGATATTTATCTTTAACATTTCCTACACGAAGTCAGAGTTTACTGTAAAATTTACAAATATTGAATAAGAGAGAATTTTTATTATTGGTTAAGAATTTTGGCTATTTCTACTAATTTTGTTAACCAGTATTTAAGTTATAATTTGTAATTTATTGATTAAATTATTATGATTTAACTGGTAACAACTCACATATTACAAGCTGCAAGTTTGAAGCTCGTTTGAACAATAGATTTTTAATCACAATTTAAATAAATTATTCCAAATTTAATCGCAATTTAAATAATAATTCCAAATTTATATTTAATTAAATATAATGTTATTAGTGGATCATGGTTTGGTTTATTTCGTTACGGCAACACAACACATGGGCAATCTGCCGAGGGATGCCTCCTGAGAGAAGAAAAAAACACAGAAAACTCCACATGGCAACTTGTTGGCAAGACCCAAACCCATAACCAACTATCAGTGTTCATTGGTTTTATCCACTCTGCCACTGGTGGGCTTCTATTAGTGAACTGTGACACACACAATTCTAGATTCATTTAAATAACTGATTAACTCAATTCTAAATCAGAAATTTTAGCAAAATTTAATATAAGTCAACTACTGATTTCCTGCACACAGTTTCAAAATTCTGCTAGATTAATGGTTTTGCTAGACCGAGGTCATGCAATAATAATAACAGCCTATCTTGGACTATTTATTATATGCTACCTGAATCTATAAAGCACTGTGGACTGCTAGAAACTGAAATTAAGCATATCTTAAATGTGAAGTGGTACTTATGTTCAATTCTGTTGACAGTTGCATCTTTTTTTATAAGTCACAACTAGGGTCAAATGTAAGTAAAATGAGCTAAAAATTACACAGAATAGAGAGATCTCCCAATTGCTGCAATGTAGACAATCCAAGTGCATGCAATACATTCTGTGACCATTTGATTGAACTAGTTTGACAGTTGTTGTAATTTCAAGAACTCACTCATAATTCTGAGAGACTTCAAGTGAACATTCCATAAGATAAATGTAGTGATGTGCCGGGTATCCGTATCCGCAGATATCCGAGGGAAAAAAAAAGATCCGTATCCGTATCTGTTACTTTTTAGCGGATCTTTTATCTTAATGAATTTCATTACTTATATGAAATTTTAAAGATAGGTAGCAATAGCACATTCGTCGTTTACTATCGTAAAATATTTCCATATTACACTACTAAACTTTTTTGTCGACATTGTTTTTATTTTAATTTAACTCGGCACTCTCCAAAAACACAAACGTAATCTATGCTATCTCATNATGAGAAGAAGCAATCAAAAAAATAATGGTTGGACCATCAAAAACTCGGAAATTTACAACACAATGTGGAATGCACAAATTCGTTTATTTATAACTAAAAATATTCTCGAAATTTCATTTTAAAAAAAATGCATTTGTGACAATACCTAAATTCTTAAGCAAGAAACAAAAATTGTACAATTATCATTATTATCATATCAGTGAAGCAGCAATAAAATATTTACTACCATTTTGCACAACATACCTCTGCGAGAGCGGATTTTCGGCCATGACAAACGTGAAAAATAAACATCGTCACCGACTTCAACTCGAAGATGACTCTAGACTGAAGCTGACCAAAAAGCAACCAGATTTTACAAAGTTGTGCAAAGAAAATCGTGCACATTTGTCACATTAAAATTAAATAACCTTATGTTATTTTCATTATTATTAGAATTGTATTTTAAAGGTAATAAATGTAAAAAAAAACTTATTCTATTTATCACTAGCTGTCTACCCACAGCTTCGCCCGCATTATATCGAATTTTCTCGTGGGAGTAAGATATTTTCTCGCAGTAAAATGTAGCCTATGTCCATCTCCAACATGTAAGCTATCTCTGTGCCAAATTTTATTAAAACCTGTTCAGCGGTTTAGATGTGAAAAGGTGACAGACAGACAGAATTACCTTCGAATTTATAATATTAGTATGGATTAATATGAATTTCTGCTATAAGGGGTACGCGAGTTTGAGCTCTTTCTTGAAGTGGTACGCAGGAAAACTAATTGGGAACCACTGTTCTAGATAATGCAGTACATGTTTATTAATTGCTGCCATTCTAAAAACATTTTGTAATGAGATTATGGCATTCTACTAGCACTCTACATTCAATCAATGAGAGTTAGTTTAGTAATTATTAATGAAAATTTAAGAATGTATGAAGTCCAAAAATAAAAGACATACATTTGTAACTAAGTCTCTGACAAAACAAATTTGAAGTTGATGTTAGAGAGACCAAGATTTGCAGAAATGACCTGGGGGACCAATTCCGTGCAGTTTTAATTTGTATAATTGCATAAACATCTAAGAAAATAATATTGAGTTGCTTTGTATTGTTTATTAAAATTATTTGCAGTAAACAACAAAGAATTCTAATGCAGAGTTGATTTTTATGAATGTTTCACAGATGGAGAAGAGGCAATTTATAAAGCTTGTTTTGATCTGATAAAATTTCAATCAAGCTTGATAATTATGTAATTGTGATATACTGTATTTAATTTAATAATAAGCATGCTGTCTATTGGAGGAAGATAAGGCTTATTGTAAACTAAAAAGGTTCAGTGTTGTTACTGCTATCTAAAGGTATTTAATTAGATTGAATTAATGGAATAAGGCCATCTGCCAAGGAGATGATGTCTTCCAAAAGAACTAATATGGGAAAGTGGTCCTCCATTCAGGTGTTAAAAAACCTGGAAAACTCTAGGTGGCCAATCCATTAGTAAGGCACAAACCTGCAGCCAACTATCAGTGTTGGATGGTTTTTATCCACTAAGCCATTAGTGAGCTTGTAATTAAGATCACATAGAGAACGGGGCCACTTAAGTTTAGTGGATGGGATCAAAATAGATTTCATCCCATACTTGTGAATGAAGATGAAAAAGTTACCAAATTTATTTCATTAATAGTCATACCTAATTCCTAAAGAATAGAAACGATAAAAGTTGCAGGTATTACAAACATACATGCACTCAAGCACATGCTAGAACATTTAAGTACAGAAAAAATTTACAAGTACAAGATTAAAGTGTACATTTTAAAATGAATGCTAATTAGCATAACGCATTCTAAAGTTGCGTTGACATTTATTCAGTACACAATGCAATTGTGATGCTGTAAAATAATTGTGAGAAAAACTTTGAACAGTTGCAACTATTACTGAAATAAATTTAGTATATATTGTAATAAACAGTACAGCTGCAAGATGGAAGTTATAGACAGTGTGCTGTTTATTAGAATAAATTGGTATTTTATGAACCAATGAAATGAAACTTCATACTTTTGATATATTGTATTGTCAAGAATATATTGAAGATTAATAACAAAGACAGAAGAATTTCAAATTATAAAAATTAGCCATTTTTGAGAATTAATATCTGCAGATGTGTTGCAAAACTTTCTCCAAGCTGGTGATAATATGTTATTGAAGTTTGTTTTCATTTCACTATTTTGATCTACAAGCTGAATTTTCTGTTTTGTGAGTGATATTTATACAATTGCTGAATTTTAAACTGATTTCTTCATAAATTTCTATGTGCTAATGTGTTGCACTTTATAAGTTTCTAAGGAATAATCTTATAAAGAAATCTATTTGTTAAAAAGTTTGAGACTATATATGTATTTTTTCTTTTTACTATTCCCATCAAAATTACATTAATTTTTATAGTAATTTACATAAAGAAAAATATATTTTAATTCTAGAATAAAATCTTCAATAGTTCAAATCCAATTATCCATAGAATTTTGTGTTGTAACTAAGTCTTTGAAACCCTTTATTGTGGGGAGTATTTGAATCCAACAGTACTGATCCAACTGTTCATTTGGATTGGAATTAATAGTTACCCTTTCCATGTCTCTTGCCAGACTCATGAAATGATTTGATGTGTCTGAATCACAACTGTCACTATCGCAGAATGGAACAAATGGTAGATGGTCGCAGTTCTTATGATGCACACATATCGTTAGTTTTTTTCCTCTGTTAGGTATTTTATAATTCCTCATTTTCATGAAATTTTTCAAATTACTATTTCTCGGTATCTCGATCATTACAGTCATGTTGGTCAACGAAGGAGAATCGGGTCGATTCAAGATGCCCGAAGACATCAAGTTTCTGAAAAAGTATCTGACACAAACCAACTGATTTAGTGATTTTCCTTTGCATTCTCCACACTTCAGCGATGGTGGCAGGTCTACCACATACACTTCTTTGGGACTGACAAGGGTAGGACCCAGCGAAAACACAACTTGGTTCACTTCTAGATCTGTAATACTCGTTGTCAAGTTTTGAAACAGGGAATCAAACAAAGACAAACTAGAATGGATTGATTTCTGTTTTCTTTGTAAAAGTGTCTTTGGAACAAGCTGTAAGAGAAAAACATAATTTGAAATATCTTATATACTAGTTACTTGCAATAAATTATTATATAACTTTTTAAATATGTACAGTGGATGATCAGTTAATTAATGAACAGTTTGGACTACGAACAAATTGGATAATGAACACTTTCGTGAAAGATTTTTATGTTTGGACAACAAACACACATTCGGATAACAAACATCTCACAGAACAAACACAAGATGAAGTGACGTAAAATAACGAATACCGATTGATCTTCCCTTGTCTTCAGGAACAATTCAAAACTTTACAGAGCGTAGGAGACATTGACATCAACGCTCACCCTGATATATACTGATTGGATAGTATTCCTCCAAATTTTGAAACTCTCCCTTGTAATTTCAGTCTTTTATTTTTCTGACAGAAAGAATTTTTTTATAGTATTTGTGAGACTGTTGTGCAGGCACTCATTAAGTTTTGCATCGGTTTTTATTTTTGAAAGGTGAGAATATAATAACAAAGGTAGAGTGGGCAGATGTCTAATGTTGCTGGGCAGTACAGCTTGAACAGGTCTACAGCAGGCCGCAGTTCAATCTCATTTAATTAAAAAAGATACAGTATAATCAAGAACATTCAAGCAGCTAAAGGAATAACAGAAATCACATCTGAAAAATAAAGAACATAGGAGAGCACATAATGGAAGCTGAAATGGATCTGATGACAGAATGCCAAGAACTCTTAAATGAAGAACACCAAGAAACTTGGCAAGATATGTTTTTTCTGAAAAAGAGGATTAATGCCAATATTTGCTATTAAAGATTTTTTGAAGAAGTGGGAGGATGTCAGAACGACAGTCTTAAAATGGCATCCAAACCAGGTTGAGGTTAATAGGCTTGGGGATCTCTACAATTACAATACTATTACTTCTGAAAAATCCTGAAGAGAAAAATGCAATTGACATTAGACAGATTCTTTAACCCCACAAATGGAAAAAAACATGACTAATAAAAATGCAAGACTGTGTATATATGTATTTTTATTATTACATATAAACAAACATAGTAAGAAAGTATATGTTTTTTATTTTTTGTAGTTTCCAAATGAATTAATCAAATTCTCATAAAAACCTATGGTAAATCAATAATCGGTTAACAAACAAAGTCTTGGAACGGATTATGTTTGTTAACTGATTACTGATTTACCACTGTATAAAAGAGTGACATGAGTCAACTTGAGCTGGAAAGGTGGTGTCAGATGAGAGATAAGGGATATATATGGCTATCCCTTGAGAGTTGAGACATGAATCTGATCTTCCAGCTGTTTTGTTTTTACATTTTAAAATATTTTCATACTTTTATCATAAATAATTTTATTGTTTTTTTTTTTTTTTTACAAATTTTATTACTTACTCTTAATTCTATCATCACTCACACATTAATCGCATCTACAAATTCTTCTTGAATTACTTTATTAATATGTATGTGGCATAAAGCACATTGCTCACTTGAGGTTATTTGCTGATGTATTTAGTACCACAGTCAATGATATGTAATATACTATAAAATTAAACTATTAAATATATTATGTTCAAATTTATGGGTGTCAATCCATAAGGGACAGAGGGGACAACCTCAATATTTATTTTATACCATAGTACAAAATTAGAACTAGAAACAAATACATCTTATTTTTTATATCCATTGAAAATCTGACACTAAGAAATTTTCCTTCTCGTCACAGCCCAACATACAATATGCAGTTTATAACAATCGACACTGATGTTCAGATTATAAGATATCTAACAGACAGTTGAAAGGAACCTTTAAAAAAGTAGGATAAATTTTTGAATGCTTAAGACAGAAGGAATGTAAGGAACCATTTTCTTTTATATAAATATATTTTGTATATTTGTAGACATGCTAAATGAATTCAAAATGAAAATATATAAGAATAAAGTTGTCATAGGTCCCACTTTTTCAGTTTGTCCCGACTGGAAAATTCTTCCTGAAATGTCCCCCATTTCTAACTAAAAATATTCCTACAGTATTTATATTTAAAAAAGTCAAATAAGAATTGCAGACAAGTTTCTATTGATGTTGTGCACACATATACTACCTGTCCTTACATGCAACCTTTAGTAATCTGTAGTGCATGTCTATGATTACATCTGGCTGTAGTCTAGTCATTTTTTTTTTTCTTTCCATCGTGTGGGCAATAAGAGGACCTTTATTTTTAATCATATCCATGTCCACAATGGGTATGAATGGGGACAGTTGGGTGTAAGTCTAATAAATACAACTGGTTCAGCAAATATTAAATGTTCAATAATTGATAATTCTTAGAATCTTTTCAACACCTTACCCACTGGACCTAAATACAGTACTATCTTAACCACATTTATTCCAGCTTAAATGACTTCAGCTTAAAAAAATTGTTGTTCTTTAAATCAAAAACTATAATAATTGTTTTAATATTTGGTATCTTAAAATTTTTGTAATTCAATTGCATTGTATTCCACTAAGTTAAATGTATGGCTGGGAGTACCTAGCTCAACTACAAGTTATAGCTAGCATCTTCAACATTTAATTAAGTCACCTACCCAATGCTTAATTAATACCCAATTTATCAATTTTTACCACAATGTTACCTCATTTATAATATCTCCACTTCTGGTTTTGAACTTATGGCAACTTTATAGAAATGCAAGGACATGGAGTGTCAAATATATTAATATAAGGTTACCGTACATCCATATGTAGTACGGACTATCTGTATCTGTACCATACTTAGAAAAAATAAAATGTCTGTACTTTTTGACCTATCATGCAGTTAGTTAAATCATAACCACTTAGATTAATTCTGACAAAGGGTGGTAAATTTTGATGATTATTATTGTATTTGTTGGCTAGGTGACAACATTGTTTAAGCAAATGTAACCACTCTGTTGCTTAGAGCACATTCATTGTTATGGTACATGTTGTCTAAATGGCAAAATAGTTTTCTTAGGTAAAATTTTACCTGCAATTTTAAATATACATGCACCGTCATGGTGGCAGTCACGATTGTTTGTGCTCCCAATGGACTTCTCCTGGAGGGGAACTGCCAATTGTTTAACGTCACTAGTTATTGATACGTGTGTTCAAGAACTACCATGAATCAATAACTAGTGACGTTAAACAATTGGCAGCCTGCCGGCACTGGACGAACTCCTCCCAGAGGGCACCCCTCTGGGAGGAGTCTGTGGGGAGAACAAACAGTTGTGATCACCAGCATAATGGTGCACAAGTAAAATTCTACCAAATTGCATTATGTGCCCCAAATTGAAACTTTATATATGCCTACATTTACTAGATTTAAAAATATGAATAAATTCCTTTTATTTGGCCTTGCTGTCTGAGTACTTTTAATGCTAATCTGTCTGTATTTTGCCTTCGAATTAATAAAAATATGACAAATGTCTTCACCCACACTGTATATATGAAATGTATGCATAACAAATGCAAGGTATACATGTTTAAAAATTAAATCTGCCTTATACTTGACAAGATATTAATATGAAGAGTGCTGTATACAGTTTTCATCAACGTCGAATGACAATGCTTATTGTGTAAATACAGTAGATATTTAGTACAGGAAACAAACAAATCTTCGTACCTCGGAACTAGAAACGAATAATCTTTTCGCTTGATCGAAGAGGCAGGGAATCTGTCCTCTGGCATAAAGTATATGTTTTAACATTTCTACCATTAAACTGGCATAAGTTTTATTAAGCACCCATCCGTCGAAACAAATCCCGATACGGTCACTATCTCTAGAACACGCCATTTTCTTCGTTTGAAAATTAGTTTAAGTGTTGCCAGCTACCCGAAATAGGACGTCACACAAAATATTGAAAAAAAAAAAGGTTTGAAAATATTAGTTGACTATTTTTAATTGTTATTAGTATAGTCAAAAATGTCATATTGTTGACCAGATTGCGCTATCGCTAGCAAAAACCCCACGCATTGGCCGCCCTTACGTTTCTGTCAAGATTACGCAGAGGATGGAGCCGTATGGATTTGTTTTTTTTTTTTTAAACTCTTTCCGCCCTGTGGGCACTAAGAGGGCCTCTTTTAGCAAGCCCATTACGTGTTCGGCCAAGCACAATGGGCTTGCCCAGGCACAATGGGGCGGCCGGGTGGTGAAAGACGGGGCCCGACATATCCGGATGAACCACCCTCCGAAAAATTCCTGGGGATTTTTGTTCGACCCATCCAGATTCGATCCCGGGTCCCAGAGCGGTAGGCTGCCGTATGGGGGTAATGGTGGCAGATACGGAGACAATCGCGTGAATTTAAAGCTAGAATAGCTTACAATTATCTGCTCCGAAGAGGGTTTAATTGATGACGCTAGGTGGGAATTTTTTTCCGTTCTATTCGGATAATTATTAATGTCATTTACGGATGTCGCAAAAAACCTCTCCGCTAAAAAAGACGGAAAAAAAGCATAGGAGAGAACTAATTGATGAATTGATATGAGATTGGTGAGGTAGCAAGGCGGCTTTTGGAAATGGAAACATAATTTCGTGTCCCTTAATCCCGAAAGACAAGAAAAATAATTCAACAAAGATGTTGCTTAACTTTCCAGGCAACATTTAACACTGCTTGTATGGCGTCATCTGTTACGATATTTTATTAAAAAGTTTTTTATATTTTTAATTATTATAAAATGGCAAAAAGCTCAATTTTCAAAGTAGGGACGGGTTTTATAAAAAAAAAAAAATTTGTAAATGCTAATAACGAGTAAAATCGTCATTATGTCCGACCCTACTGGAGATACTCCTGACCCATCGACCTTTAACTATAAAAAATTAATAGCATCGATCCCCCTAATAAACAAATCTCCCTGCGAAATTTCAGAAATTTTCGACATAAAGCATGGGAGTTATTAAGCTTCAAATATGGTGAACAAAAAACACTAAAATTCATATATATATAAAAAACCAGTCCCGATTTTTTATTTTAATTTTATTTATTTATTTTTGCATTTTTCGACATTTAAAGGTGTCCTAGGTCCAAAAATGTAAAAATCTGCGGGGGTCATTTTTTGATCGATCACCATACTTTCCTTCTGTATAACAGCCGGGAAAGTAAAAAATGGGGAAGACGTATTAATGGGGAATTTTATATTCCCGAAGGGGGAAATTGGGGAACCTATATTATATAAAAGAATAATTTAAGTTGTTATTATTGAAAAAATTATTATTTATTGCATCTTGTCTAAATGGAAAGTTTCAGTTAATCTTAATAATATATCTCCAGTTCTATAAAGTTCTATTATGACCTTATAACATCCTGATGTAACTGAAGCAAGAATCAGGATCAAATTAAATTTGCCTTCAATCTCATATTTTCTTAATTCCGCTTATTAATTACGTGTATTTTTTTGGTTTATTACGGAATAAATATGTTGGTTTTATTGCTATAGAAATATTTCTTACTAAAAACAAACATTATTGTAATGTTCGGACTCCATTTGTATTTTGAAAAAAGTCGAAGGAGTGAAGCCACCAAATGTTGCGGGGAAAGTTAAGCAACTCTTTGCTGGATTTCTTATTTATTAACTCTTTTGATACTTTTCAATTTTTAATGTTAATGTAATTAAACATAAAAAGTACTTAAAACTGAAAAAAAACGAAAGAAATGCGTTAATTTTGAAGAAAAAGCTTCAAACTTTATTTTCCCATGTCTCGCCTTTCTGCGAAATTTGACACCGATGAATCATTGTGTTTACACCCATTCATTGTTATGGTACATGTTGTCTAAATGGCAAAATAGTTTTCTTAGGTAAAATTTTACCTGCAATTTTAAATATACATGCACCGTCATGGTGGCAGTCACGATTGTTTGTGCTCCCAATGGACTTCTCCTGGAGGGGAACTGCCAATTGTTTAACGTCACTAGTTATTGATACGTGTGTTCAAGAACTACCATGAATCAATAACTAGTGACGTTAAACAATTGGCAGCCTGCCGGCACTGGACGAACTCCTCCCAGAGGGCACCCCTCTGGGAGGAGTCTGTGGGGAGAACAAACAGTTGTGATCACCAGCATAATGGTGCACAAGTAAAATTCTACCAAATTGCATTATGTGCCCCAAATTGAAACTTTATATATGCCTACATTTACTAGATTTAAAAATATGAATAAATTCCTTTTATTTGGCCTTGCTGTCTGAGTACTTTTAATGCTAATCTGTCTGTATTTTGCCTTCGAATTAATAAAAATATGACAAATGTCTTCACCCACACTGTATATATGAAATGTATGCATAACAAATGCAAGGTATACATGTTTAAAAATTAAATCTGCCTTATACTTGACAAGATATTAATATGAAGAGTGCTGTATACAGTTTTCATCAACGTCGAATGACAATGCTTATTGTGTAAATACAGTAGATATTTAGTACAGGAAACAAACAAATCTTCGTACCTCGGAACTAGAAACGAATAATCTTTTCGCTTGATCGAAGAGGCAGGGAATCTGTCCTCTGGCATAAAGTATATGTTTTAACATTTCTACCATTNTGATCTAACTTAAAAAAAAAAAATGTTTTTTCGATAGTATTTTAATTATTTTCGAACCCCTCACAATTTCCGTTCGTACCCAAAATTTGAAGACAGGTGTTAATGAACTAGTCTAGAAAGAAAAACAAAGTGCAAAAAGTTATAAATTGTTTTAATGTAACGGTTTATTTATTAAATTATTTGCAAGATTTAGAAATAAAAATTGCTTTTATCATGTTAACGGAAGGCCTATAGTTTAACGGTTGCAGATTATTAATTAAAAATTAATTTAAAAATCTAAAAATGCCCAACTTCGATAAGTATCGAATCTTTAAACAGTTGTTATAAAATTTAATAAGTTTTATTAATATAAAAATTTATATATAATGGTGAAAATTCCATGTACATTTTAAATGGTTGAAGTAATTATCATTCTGTTTTGCACTGCAATGAATGTTTTTGGTTAAAGTTCGACATGTAAATGGTTTCCTTCCGTAGTGTATTATTCTGGAAATGAAATGTTTTACTAGTAGAACATCGGCCGAAATATTATAAGGATAGTAATAGTCGTTTAATTATTAAAGGCCAGTAACAGCGTAAGACAGTCTTTTATTAAACACGAGAACATTGCTTAAATTAATGTATCGTTGTCACTTTGCCACGGTAGACATGACGTTACCGTCGTTGTATGCACTTTAATAACCGAAATGGAAGAACGAATCTCGAATGTTGTCGAAGAATCCGTCCGTAAATTGGGATGGAAAGTCAAATCCAGTCGATTAAGTCGTAGCCGAATGAAAGGTCACTTCCGGGTGCTGTGCCACGTTCGGAGGAAAGTTGAAATCCGTGCAACAAGGCTTGTCAGAAAGGTTATTTTTCCGGCAGAAAAACAACCTTTTCCACCAAGGCCCTTTACGCTCCACAGATTCTTCCACCATTTCTTTGGACTCCTTTCTGTCCAGTCTCGTCTCACGTTACCGTGTCGACTCCACCATCATTCAGGAACTTCGGGATATTGCGGCTCCAGATAATGGACGAGAGACAAGGCGCTGTCGTCCGGAGTTATGACGACCATCAGTTTAACGTCGGAGGGTTGTCTTTTTGCGTGTCCTGTTTGTTTCATTATCAATACGATTCATCAGTAACGGTTTACCTATTAGTTTCATCATATTATTATATGTACTGTACAAGCAAACACATTAACAATACTTTTATTATATTACTAATTTCTAAAAATTTAATTTGATAATAATGAATTAGATTCTGCTATATATATATATATGAGATTATTCGTCATACGTTACCCAAGTTTACAGAATAATTAAACAAATTACCATTAAACATTCACAGAATAAATTCTGCATTACACCTGTAAATTCGGTATAGAAATAAACGTGTAAAAACCAATGCCTCACCTTTAGAATTACTTGATTCCGATAAATTCGAATCGTCACGGGAAGTACCGGCTATCGATGGCTCCGACATTGAAGGTTCTTCATGAGGACCGTCGGGAATGCTTTGGTCCAAACCGGTTTGACTGGACGTCGCTGGAGTTTCTATAAAAAGTTTAACATTTAAAATAATGTATAAAATGAATTTATTTATGAAATAAATCGGTTACCAATATCGGAACTTGTAGACGAATATTGAAGAGAAAAATCCCTAGTTATAGAATTTTCGGATAATCGATCGTTATCATCTGTCCTTACATCGCTTATTTTAATTTCATTCGAAACAAGTGTAGATGTGGATGCTATAACGAATGTCGATGGGTCGGGCATAGTTGTGGAAACAAGATTCTGCGACGATATCGGTTCGGATGGAGCTTCGGATTCGACATTTTCACCTTCATTTTCCTGAAAATATACAGTATATTAACCAAAATTGTTATGTAATAAATTATATTAGCTTCGTATTACGTTTTTAATCTATAAATTTTCGAAATACGAACGAAGACATTTAAATAACAATTTACGAAATAAAATGATATGTGCTCACCCTTACAATCTCGATCTCATCGTCGGCTTCGAGATGGATTATCGGAGGATTTTCGATTATTTCGACTTCGTCCTTGGTCGATTCGGTTATTTTATTATCTGCAAACGACGTGAAAGATTTTTCTTTCCGGTACGGAGATAAAAGTGGGGGTTCTGGCGACTTAACTTTAGAGGGAATCTCGACCACGTCGTCCGATTCACTCGAGCTTCTCTTCCTCCTCCGTTTTCTTTTCCTCCGTAGCGAAGTGAAAACTTCGGCAGATTCATTTGGCATTTCTTCCGGAGCTTCTTCGGATTGAATTAAACCCTTTATTTTCAGCGCTTCTGCAGTCTTTAAAAGTCTAGCAAGTTGACTTCTCGGGATAAAAATTTTGCCGTTATAAATAAAATCCAGAATCATTTTCAGATCGGAATACTTCGTATCGGTTAGGACGATAACGGGATATTGATTCGGATTATCCATAAAAATATTGTTAAAGAGTGGACTACTCGCGCTCAATATCAATTTGTGCGCTTTCATTTGTTTTCCTTCGCAAGATAGAGTGACGTCCATCAAACCTTCCGTAGTCAATAACTGCTTGAAACTAGACACCAGATCCTTCTCGTGATTATTCCACGTAAATTGAAACGTTTGACTTCCCATATTTGATATCTACGGTCTAAAAATATAAATTTTAAAATATTATTTTTACTTCTCGTTTTAAAATTAGATTAAAAATAATTATAATTGAAATGTGGCTTACCAAAATTCTATTTAAAAGAAGAAAGTAACCCAGAACAAGACTAGCAAACAGCTTACGCTCCAACAGCAATAAAGATTGTGACGTTACTTGATGCAACCGTCGAGAATTGAAGTCAATTTACAACCGTCCTCGTTTTCTGATTGGTCGTAAACGGCAGATTCTAATACTCCGATTGGACGATTAATGCTATTGGACGGTTTGAACGTTTTTAGAACATTAGGCAACGCCTCATAACGGAAAATCCGTAACGGATAACCGTAACGAGTCTAATATTCAAATTATAACGGTTATAAAATTAAATTTAATTAAAATTGTTTTGAAATTTTTACTAGGCAAAAGCTTTCGATTATTCATTTTTCAAATTAATTATAATGTGCAACACAAAGGAGTTTTTGCCATATTTTCCAAAGGGGATCGGGCCGAGCCCACGGTATTTTAATATCAATCGATACATTTAAAGTACTTTAAATGTATCGATTATACACTGCCGGCCATTAAAATTGCTACACCAGGAAGGAAAGCGAATAGCAGAATCATGTTTATAGTATAATTGAGGAAAACACGATTAAATTGGCCTGTAATCTTGAAGTATGGAGCACCCGGCATATTGTAGTATCTTTGGTGCAAATTTCTCGTTTGTTGCCTACCGTCTTTACGGTGTAGCAATTTTAATGTTGAGCAGTGTAAAAACGCTATGTTAGGTATACAAAATTGTAAATTCGAGAGAACTTTTAATGATCTAACTTTAAAAAAAAAAATGTTTTTTCGATAGTATTTTAATTATTTTCGAACCCCTCCAACCGAGACGTGTTAACATGGCGTAGGGTGCGGCGTGCGTTTTGAACCGATTCGTATTAAATATATAGAAAGTTCTATAAGTGCTTACGATATGTTTAGTCACATGCTTATAATAATTAAATTTTGATTACTAATTAATGATTATTACGTGAGTAAAAAGAATTACGCTGCTTAACTCTATGCAATCAAATAAGTATGCCCGTCTTATCTAGTCGTGTACACGTATTTATAAGTTTATAAACGATTTAACGGCAAAGAAATGAAACAAAATCGTAATTTTTTNAACTTCGATAAGTATCGAATCTTTAAACAGTTGTTATAAAATTTAATAAGTTTTATTAATATAAAAATTTATATATAATGGTGAAAATTCCATGTACATTTTAAATGGTTGAAGTAATTATCATTCTGTTTTGCACTGCAATGAATGTTTTTGGTTAAAGTTCGACATGTAAATGGTTTCCTTCCGTAGTGTATTATTCTGGAAATGAAATGTTTTACTAGTAGAACATCGGCCGAAATATTATAAGGATAGTAATAGTCGTTTAATTATTAAAGGCCAGTAACAGCGTAAGACAGTCTTTTATTAAACACGAGAACATTGCTTAAATTAATGTATCGTTGTCACTTTGCCACGGTAGACATGACGTTACCGTCGTTGTATGCACTTTAATAACCGAAATGGAAGAACGAATCTCGAATGTTGTCGAAGAATCCGTCCGTAAATTGGGATGGAAAGTCAAATCCAGTCGATTAAGTCGTAGCCGAATGAAAGGTCACTTCCGGGTGCTGTGCCACGTTCGGAGGAAAGTTGAAATCCGTGCAACAAGGCTTGTCAGAAAGGTTATTTTTCCGGCAGAAAAACAACCTTTTCCACCAAGGCCCTTTACGCTCCACAGATTCTTCCACCATTTCTTTGGACTCCTTTCTGTCCAGTCTCGTCTCACGTTACCGTGTCGACTCCACCATCATTCAGGAACTTCGGGATATTGCGGCTCCAGATAATGGACGAGAGACAAGGCGCTGTCGTCCGGAGTTATGACGACCATCAGTTTAACGTCGGAGGGTTGTCTTTTTGCGTGTCCTGTTTGTTTCATTATCAATACGATTCATCAGTAACGGTTTACCTATTAGTGTCATCATATTTCACGGTGATAGGGTTTTGCAAGGGGTACCACTGCACTCGTCTTACCCCTCTAAGGAATTTGGTATCTTACTTGTTTAATTACTCTAATTAGAGGGGAAAGGTAATTAAATTTTAATTCCGTAAATTTCGGCCGAGCCTAGCGGGTGGGGGACAAATTTCCGGACTCTGGTGCAAATACCAATTCTGAAGACGGTGGATGTTAATGTGTATGTGGGGAACACGATTTAGTTCATCTTGTTTGAAGCTTAATAACTTCCGTTCTTTTTGTCGAAATTTTCTGAAATTTTGCAGGGAGGTTTGTGTATTAGGGAGAACGATGCTATTAAATTTTGGTGATTAAATGTCGAGGGGATGGTGAAATAAAGGGAGTCGTGTGTATCTCTACTAAGGTCGGACTTAATGACTATTTTACTCGTTATAGTCAAGTGTAAATTAATTTATGCTTATTAGTTTTTGTACAGAGAGGGCTCTCAACTGTAGCATACGCCTACGAAATAATTGTTAGTTCAGAAGTGTTAAAAAAAACTTTTTCTACCTCAATTGTTTAGTGCGTTTTCCAGTCGTTAACAGAGTGACCGGTTAATACAGTTATTAGCAATTTTTTATAAAACCCATCCCCACTCTTAAAATTAAGTATTTTGCCATTTTATAATAGTTAAAATAAAAAAAGTTTTTTAAAAATAAAATATGATAACAGATGGCGCTACCAAAAGTTGCCGGGAAAGTTAAGCAACTCGTTGCTAGCTTTTTAAAAATAAACTTTTCGGATTGTAAAAAGATTTTGTCAATTCTGTCGGATGCATCTACTGTTTCTAGTTCTCAGAGAATATTTCAGTATTACAAGTATTTCTGCGAAGATAGTATCATTTCGCGACCTATTAAAGTTTTAACTCGCTTCATAGTTTGGAAAACACTACTCCGGCATACCCACAGTTAATCCGCAACGTGCAACAATGGAAAAATTTCTCGATAAAGCGCCCAATACATACAATGTGGTACAGTACAAGGGCAAAAGCTTCAAGTAAAAGATCGCAAATAACATAAAATGGCTTTTACGCAGCCTTTGTAATGGAAACCATTATAAAACTTGCCTCCCGATAAAGCTCATTGTAAGAATTGTAATTGATAAACGAAGAACCACGCAAATTAAAACCAATCGTTCCATAGAATAGGTCGGATGGCCGATGCCATCAAGGAGTTCTGGAGGATTAAATCCGGGCGAGCAACTCCTCAGAAATAACTTATATGTCAAGCCTCTTCCCTCGCAACCGGCCGCCTCCACTATAATTATGATAGAACCCATAATGTGTATGATTACGAAAGTCTTTTTGGTGTCCACAGATCGGAAAGCATCAAAAATGGAAAAAAAAGTGACTCACGATAAATATGAAAAGTTCTCAGTTAGTTCTGAAAGTCTTTTTTTTTTTTTTTTTTTAACTCTTAGCTACGTTAGCACCAAGACCATTTCTCTTCAGCAAGGCCATTATGAGTTAGACCAGGTTCGCGATGGGAGGTGGCACGACATGTTTGGACTGACCACCCTCGAAAAATTTCAGCGATTCTTTCCGACCCTTCCGGATGGATTCCGTGTCTCTCTGAGCGGTAGAAATCCATTTTAACCGCCCGGCCATTCGGCCGTCAGTTTCGAAGGTCCGAAAATTTAATAAAATGTGGGAAAACTTTTAAAAAATTTTAATCTTTAATAAAGAATAGTTTATATTTAATTTTTATTAAGTTTAAAAATCATCTTAAAAAAATAATAAAATAAAATAAAATTTTCTTCCGTTTCCGTCTCCAAAAATTAATTTTATTTACTAATTCGGTTCGCCAGAGGGCGCGAAAGCACCGATCGATTGGCTTATTCCTAGGTGGCGTTGCTTGGAAACGGACGGGATAGCGATGTTTAAGTTCAGGTGTACAAATCCCAATTTAGAAAAAGAAAGGTTCAAAGACGATAATTATAAAACTTTGACGTCCGACCAACAGGCGAGTCCAATTTCCATTTCTTAAGACCTTCGTTTAATAGTTTAAACGACATTTTGATGTAGTTTTCGTTTGCCGGTGCCGTCTTGTTTATGTTGTGTGTAGCCGTTACGCTAATGGAGTTTCTACCGGTGTCTCGAGTACTAATCAATGCTTAAAACGGAAAGGCTTATGCATTAATTCTACGTCACTCGATATTGAATCGATGGTACGAGTTAAGGAAAGTTGTCTCTATTGTTTTTTTTTTTTTTTTTTTAAATTATTAAGTGTATAATTACATCTACGATTGGCACCTTACAGAGCTGAAGATTGTACTCGTAGGAGCAAAAATGTCGAAGGAACAGTACCCGTACGTGTGATCCTTTGCAAGTTATGCTCCCGAAATCTGGGAGTTGCACCGCATGCTTCGCTATGAATGTCACGTTTAACTGTTTGGCCCATGCCACCATGGCCCGCTTGATGTTATGTAGTTTCGGGGGTTGCAAGGACTTGCCCCGACTCATGCACTGGGATTTGAGCGTCAAAGTGAGTGACTAAATGGGGAGCGCAGGTTGAGACAGGCGACGGCCAGCCCACACGCAATTATTAGACTATTCATTTCCAAACTTTTTCAGGCTGCAATCTCCTTTTGGACAAGAGTTTTGCTCACGATCCCCTACTACTATCTTTCTTTCCTATTTATATCCTCTCTCTGCAATCATGATACCATTTGCAACCTTGCAACTCTGTGAAAAGTTTCTCACTGCTCTTTGTTTCCCACACTTTCAGAACTGCAGCATTAGACAAATTGTCTTTTAAAACATGCAGCATATTGTAATTTCTAGTACTTTTGTCCTTAAAACAGCATCTTTGGCACATACAAAAACAAATGTTGAAAAATTGAGCAAAAATATATTCAAATAAATATTTCAAGCTTCTATTATTATTTTTACTCAGTATGCTGCACACAGCCAGAATCCTCCCAGGGCAGGGGTGGCCAACAGTTTTTGCCCCCGGGCCGAATTAGAAAGAAAACTTTTTACACGGGCCGAACCATAGGCTGCCCTAGGAAGATTTTGAGGTGGAGCGAGATATTGTGGTGTCACCCCGTAGAGACTGAATTGTAGATAGAGATTACAGATACATTTTTCACATTATCATGCTTTATCAACATTCTGTGCTGTACTTACGAGATTTGTAATGGCGGGTTAACTCTAAATGCACAGTGTGTTGTTAACCTTTTTTTTGGGGGGCCAACATTTTTCATCGAGCTATTCAGACTTCAATACCTAATATTGAAAGATTGATCGCGGGCTACATAAATTCATTAGATGGGCCGTATGTTGGCCATGCCTGTTGCAGGGTCTTTAATGTCCTTATTGTTTCTTAAAGTCTTGTAAATATTAGGATTTCTTCTGTACATTGTTCTGTCCACGGTGTGGGTTACTTCTTTATGCAAGTTGTATAGGTGAGTGTTATAGTTAGCAGTGTAATGAATTTTATATATTAGTTACATAACTAGTTTGCTTTGATATTGTGATCTCTGTACTTTCTATAGGGTTAAGCCTTTTACCTTTTTGTAATAATTAATAAAATAAAAATTATTTTTTAAATTGTTGTATAATTGAAAAATATCAGATGTTTTAGTCTCCTTAACTTCCTGTTTAAGGGATAGGAAAATCAGGCAAGAGCCCTTACCAGCTTTTATATCGTGGATAGTCTATTTAAACTCCCAACTAGGTTTCATTAATAAAACAACTATTACACCTTGAAGTCTGGCAAAATTTATTCACAATATCAACTAACAGTTTTTGGATGGGCTCAATATCCAAAAACATTGGTCAATATTGTAAAATTAAAGAAAATTTGTGACACTGAAATTCAAGATTAAAAACTTATAATTCAAATGTCAATTAGCATATTTGTGTTCTACAATTTGAACTACAAAAACCCGAAGAAGGTCATTGAACACTTCCAAAAACATTAGTCAGTATCGTGAATAAATTTTGCTGGACTTTAGAGTGTAACAATAGTCTACTACACATATAAATAATATGTAACACAACGATAAGTACTTATGTATCTTAACATATTTAAACATAAAAAAAAGTACNTGAAATTCAAGATTAAAAACTTATAATTCAAATGTCAATTAGCATATTTGTGTTCTACAATTTGAACTACAAAAACCCGAAGAAGGTCATTGAACACTTCCAAAAACATTAGTCAGTATCATGAATAAATTTTGCTGGACTTTAGAGTGTAACAATAATCTACTACACATATAAACAATATGTAACACAACGATAAGTACTTATGTATCTTAACATATTTAAACATAAAAAAAAGTACAGGCAGATACAAATTTTTCAACTCCATTATAATTATATGGAACCTCTTGTATATGTGATCCATCGTTCAGTAGTGATTAATGTGTTATTTATTAACATAACAGAGAATTGTGATTTAATTACTCATCTTTATCTTTGTTCTTATTGTATTGTTGATTTTTAGCATTATCATGCTATATTATGTTTATATTTATTTATTTATTTATATATTTTATAGGAAGAAGTTGAAGAATCTGTTCAGAGCCATTATGATTGCTTAAGAACAGTAAATCAATGCAGTACAGAGTAAGTTAATTGAAATGTAAAAGTTTATTAAAATAAATTATTACAGTTAGTTATCTAATGCTCTTTTTAGATTAGGAGGTATGAACTTTCATATTTAGAATCTAAATAGTTAAAGATATTTCTGTAAATAATAAAAAAATTGTTTCATTAAACAAACACTTGAGTTCTCGAGAAGTCAGGAAAAACTTTCTTATTAAATGACAGGTTAATGTTTTCGGAATGTTTGTCATTCCGTTGTCAGACTATTGTAGTTCAAGTTCAACATTCAAGTTGCAGCATTATAAACCAGTTATTCTGTCTGAGCATACATAACATGTACTACATAGAAATGAACTGGTTTAAATTATATTTTGTTCTTTAAATGTGCTTCTCAAAACCATGTTTGAAAGTCCAGTTATAGTTTCAAGACAGATAAAACTATCACTTTGGGTTTAAATTCTAGATTATTCTAGTAATATTTCTTAGACTCAATAAAATGAAAAGAAAAAATAATTTTTTGTATATTAAAAATTTCCAAGCAATAATTGAAATTGTAATTCCAATGAATAAATTTATAAAAAATAAATATGACAATTGATACATGTCAATTGATAATTCATCAAAACTTACTGATAATCAAAACCAATTGGAAAATAACCACTTGACATTTTATAGAAGTGCAAAAACGTCTTCGTAATTGGTAGACTGTCTCACAGCAATTGCTATGAGACAGTCTACCATAAGTTTTTGGATTACAAAGACGTTTTTGCATTTCAATCTAACGTACAACAATCCAATTATATTGTTATTTTATAGAAGTTTATAATTTGCCAAACATTTCAGAATTTGCCATTCTGTTATCTGGTACCACTTTTTGTGACATATTAACACCTGAGTGTTTAGCCTGATTATAAATTTCTGTAATAGGTCAAATGGTTATTTTATAACTAATATCAATACTGATGGAGATATTAAACTCAATAGTTATCGCTAATCTTCAACATAATGTTAATAGAAATTCAATGCACATTAATGACGGTGCAGATAGTGTGCTTAAAAGAATCGTGATCTGTAAGATGGATAGTATAATAAGTGTTTTGGTCAATTACTGTTGATATATTTATGACTAATTCTATCTACAAAGGGTGTTCAGAACAAAGATCAAAATAAAGGAACAATACTTTGAATAAACAAAATAATCTAAAAAACTTATGATTAATTTAGAGTATGAATAATAATACAAATGTAAAATATAACATGGCCATGCGAACCTTAGCCGTATAATGACGATATAATTTTTGGGACAATGTGATTTATGTAATTATAAAATGCAGAGTTAATGTGAACAACAATTGAATAAAAATAGATAGAATTTAGTAAAAGTGAAAGAATCTTTATCATTATTTGTATGTAATATAATAAGTTCAACAGCTAAAATGATAAATTATTTGATACAGTCTTAATCATGAAAGCACACGAAAGTTCATTAAATTTGACACCATGAATATTATCTATTTATGGTTTTCAGTAGATGATGGTCTAAATCAAAGTTAAAATTGTTCCTAATGAAGTACTTCTGATAATCTTGGCTTTAGCAGTTAATTTGTTTAATTCTTGTTATGATTTTAATTTTTTTAGATATGGGGTGATTGGGAGGAATCTACAATATTCCAGGAGATGATAAGCAAAAATTTGATATAAATATTTGTTGCATTTATAATTCTTATTGAGATGTTGCACGTAGAGTGCACTTAAGGCATTGAGAGAAAGATAGAGTAGGAATGTCATACAGTAAAGACCTGTGCTTACTGTGATATTGGAAAATTGCTCCAGTGCAAAGTCTATTACATCATAACATGTGTTTAAAAGTGCAATTATTAATGCAGAATGTTTTGGGTCACTCGTTGGAGGTCACCTTGGCATTCCTTGGTTTGGGAAATAGCATCTGTGATGCAAGTGAATAGTTCCTGGTGAATATTCACTTTTGTGTGGTAAATCTCACCCTTCATCCAGGTCAGTAAGCAAGAATCTGAATGTCAGGCTGGGAAGCTACTATCAACTACATGCCCTCAAGTCTCTGCGACTGTTACAAAGCGATACACATTTATATGAACTTATTTGTTTAATCACTCATACTATCATCTCTTAGAATATTGCAAACTCTTCCTGAATCACCCTGTATATAAAAATGATATGAACAGTACAATTGAAGATTTTTGTTTCAAAGAAGACAATGTATGTGGAACATTGAAATTGAACAAAGTTAATATTTTAATAAAAAGTAAAATAAATCACAAATGGATACGAGTCCAATTTTGCTTGCCACGTCCAATCATCAGGAACAACTATTTCCATTGCAGAGAGAATTTTTCTTTAGAGGCTATGCCTCTGCACAAATATGCAAAACAGTTTAAAATGTCTGCAGGTGACATACTTGTGCAGAGGCATAGCCTCTAAAGAAAGGTTGTCTCTGCAATGGAAATAGTTGTTCCTGATGATTGGACATGGCAAGCAAAATTGGACTCATATCCATTTGTGATTTATTTTACTTTTTATTAAATTGTAATTCTGCCAACCCTTTTCTACAAAAAAAGTTAATATTATTTAAAGTAAGTTTTAGTCAGTTTCTGCATGTGCATTATTTCTTTGTTAGTAATTTTAGTAATTTAATAATGTACCTGAACATTCCAACTAAAACTTTAAATAATAGTGTATTTTATAAACTGTACTTTTATTTTTTATTAATGTTATTTGATTTATTTATACAAGTTTATTTTTATATTTTAAATCTAGATGTCCTTTACTGTGGAGAGACAAACATGTTGTTTTTCTCAAGAAAGGACTAGTGTCACTAACTCAACTGTATGAGGTAAATCATTGTAAATTTTATAAAATGTTTGCACATGTAATTTGATTGGTTTGGTTTAAAATTTATTATTTTAAATTCTGTTTTAATAGTGTCTTGATTCGAGTCGTCCTTGGCTTTGTTACTGGATTCTCCACAGTTTAGATTTATTGGACGAACTAATAACTAATGACCTAAAAGAACAGTAAGTCTTTTTTTGTTATTATTATTAATGTATAATTAATTTAATAAAACTGGAATAATAAATAGTACACAGTAGAGTCTCTGTAATCCAAATTTATCAGACTGGTGGGTGTCAGATTTCTGATTTTAGATTAAAAGAAAAGAAATACAGTACATACAAGAACTTGGTTCACAGGTTAGTTTATTGTATTAATCACAGTTGTGATTTCTTTGCTAATCTCATGTGCAACAAACAACTTACAACTGACACACTATTACATCTCTCTCTTGCATACATTGACTAATGGTAATATGAAAGTTTCATGTGTGCTATCCTGCAGAGTGTTGGATTGCAGAATGTGCCAGACTGAAGAGACTGTATTGTACCTTCAATTTTCTGTCATTAGTTCTACATTTTAAACTTAAATAGAATGAATGCTGAATAATTAAAGTTGTATTAATTATTATTAATAAGCCAAGTTTTAAAATTAAATTTATCCAATAAATTAATCAAATTACACTAGACCTATATCAAAAAAGATTAAAGTTTAAACTTTTATTCTGTTTTTCAAAATACAAACTTTTTAATAAGCAATTTTACATTTTTAATGAGATAAAACACAACTTATTGGACTGGAATGGTATAGTAAATATCTCACACAAAAGCCTTAAATTATTTTCCAGTAACACTTATTTGAAACAGTTTTTTTGACTAATGTTTTCGATCTCAATTGGAGATCTTCAGGTCTTGATTAAGGCTTTTGAGTGAAATATTTATTACATTTTGAATATGTTTCTGATGAAATATCCATTTAGAAAAGTTTCTATTTTATTTTTAATATAAAAAAATATATTGCCTATTATACAAAAATGGTAACTGAAGATATTTTTGGAANTATTTTTATATCTTAAAATATTCCTATTTATATAAAAGTATATCATACTTTTATATAATTTTATTTTACTTTCTTTCAAAGTAATTTCACCATTTCACACAGATCAATAAACAGTAAAATAAAATATTATCCATTACCAAATTAAATGAAATTAAGTTACAAAGACAGGATAAATTTTAAATTATAATAAAATGTGACTGCAGGGTTGGCACCTCTTCGATGTCTTGTTCAGGACTGACATCACCGTGTCTTCAGGACACAGAAATTTCGATGGTCGTTACGTTAGTTTTTACGTGAGCAGTCGCGTCGTAGGCTTTTGGACTCAAAATGGAGGTGGAAGGAGACAACAGAAGAAGTATACTCCACCAAGTTATTATTATTATTTAACAAAATACCTGTTTAATAATCAATACCATACTATCTATTTACAAGCTATATACAGATGCTTAGTGAATGCTAATAATATGACATATATATAATATATATATATATATAGGAACCTTATTATTATGATTATGGCCCTGACCACAAAAGAGAGAGAGCTTACAATCATTCGTGCATTGATAAATACCTTAGGAGTTCGTAGAAATGGAAGATCTGTTCGGAACTTTCACATGTAAGGAGTCACGTTTTTCTTGAATGGTGACAATTTCTTTTGAGTGATGTGTTTCTCTGGAGTGGCGATGGCTAAGATCGGTGATGGTGAGTGGCTGGACACACACAGTTCAAAAAAAAACTGGATGACGGCTGCTGCTGATTGTCATCACTCCCTCCTTTTTTATTAGGGGCTCATCCTGGGTTTTTCCCATGACTTGGTTAGGAATTTTAGTATATTGGAATCAATAGTCAATTTTTAACTTGTTGGTTCCGGGTGAGACATTCAATGTGTCACCTTCAACAAGGAAGTAAGTCCATGGGAAACAGTTTTAATTGTCTTTAACACTTTCATTTTTCATTTTGTCTCTTTAACTTTTTCTCTTGACAAATAATAATTAAACAAAATATTTCACCAATTTCGGCTCTCACAAAAAATATATATATATTAAATTTATTAATTGTTTATATACATATATTAAAGCCTAATGAATGTCGGATTATATCCAGCAATGTTCTATTATTAACAATTAAACTAATAGTTTAATAATTTATTAAAATATTAGTTTAATTATAATTATTAAATTTATCAAGAAATTTCATCTAATGCCTATCTCTAGACCCAATTACTTAACATTTAATTATTAATATTGCTGGATATAATCTGGCATTTGTTTGGCATTAATCAAAAAATGGTTTTTACATGTTTATATTTGTATTTACATACATCAGTAATAAACATAAAACTTACTTGTACAAAGCTTTATACAAATATTATAAAAGCTACAAATGTTAGATTCTAAAGAATACATGTATACCTTGAGTTACATCGTTCTCAATTATACATCGTTTGTCAAAAAAAATATATATGGAAAAATAAAAAGCAAGTTTAAGTCATTGTATTGGACTTCACATCTTTCCACCACAAATATTGAAGTTGTAATGTTACTAGAAAAGTGTTAAAGCAAATAAAATCATATTAAAATACGTACACTTACAGTAAATGTTAATATAATCATCATAAATCCTGGAGAACGAAACATGAAAACATCTACATTTTCATTAAATCTTCTCAGCAAATTAAGGTGTTATGTTTTTTGATTTACTTATGCTGAGTGAGGGTACTTCAACCAATTTTGTCGATGTGACTGTTTGTCTCTCCTTTCTTAATGTGGAGAACAGAGCGAGGTATATNATTTTATAATGTCTTAGAGCAAACCACATTCACAAATAAAGAGTCCACGATGTACTGTAAACATTGCCAAATTGCAAACATGTACATTTACAAGTAGTACTGTACATATTAGCCTCTTTGTGCTCTCTGAGCGGTAAGGGACCTAAAACCACAAAGAAAAAAAAAAGTACTGTACATACATGAATTTGTAAATTTAGATTACTTTTTTCTGTACTATATTAAAAACTAAAATTTATTTGTTTGTAAGCTTAAAATAGATTCTTATTAACCATATATTAATTAAAAATGCATTTATCAATAAAATACAGAACTGGGAATAGTATTTGTGGTTTTGCCTAGTGACAAGTAAATTCGACTTATGTCGTTTTTCGACTTAAGTCGTCTCTCCTGGAACCAATTACTGACGTAAGTCGAGTTATACCTGTATTCTTCATTTTTTATAATTTAATACTAAAAGCAAAGTAGGTAGCAAGATGCTAAAAAGAAATTGGCTTTTTGTTTATCATTCAGAATTGTTGTTTTCACTTGAAATGTTGGTTAGGTTGCTTAGAAATTTCATATTTGACATATTATCCCATAACATGACTCTGTAAATTATCTCCACTCGCAGTTACACATATCTCTTTACGTGATTACACATTTTAAGTAATTCTTACAAGCTCAGTTATAAACTGGAAACTCAATTGCAATAGATGAAATAAATTACTACAAAATCAGCTACTGTATACTGATAGTGATTGGGCTGCAATTTGAAAAAATTTTAGACCTATAAATTCCCACTGTTGTCTATATATCTGTCTGTGTCTTTCCTTAATCTCAAGAATGGAGTTTGATAGATGAAAGACGAGATCAGATAAGGAAAACATAGGAGCTGGAGGACCCGATTAATTATATATGAACTTCCAATGTAAACCAGAAGTCACGTTGTTTCAATTTAAACATTTCTCCTCAAAAGGAGTTAGTTAGATGACCGGCATGACTCTGTTGCTAACAGAAAAAGTATTGTGCAGGGGCAAGACACTACTAATTTGAGATGGAGAGCATACATTTTAAATTAAATGAAATTAAATAAATTTTTAAAATAGGATTAAAAATTGATTATTTGATATCTAACTTGAAATTGCATCCAAAGTTGCATCATATGCATTAAAATCGAGGAAAAGAGCAAATAAAATGGGATGGATCTTGCCTCAGCTGTGGCAGTACCACTTCCGCGTTACCAGAGTAACTGTCACATGCTTCTGAAATATTTTGCCGAAAAAATTCTATCAAAAGTTTATGGGAAAATTTGTGGTTTCGGAAGTTCTGCATTCTCTTGGGAGTGACTTTTCTTACAGTCAAGCAGATTAAAAATTAGATGCAACATATATGGGTTTGAATAAATTTAATATGTTTTTGCTAGCTGACAAAAATCAAGAGACAGTTAAAATATAGATATACATTTTGGCACTTTTCCATACTTTTAGAACATTATTACTGGATTTGTCAGCAATTTAGCTGATTCCTTATCATACTAAACTGCTGCAAAATACAAGATTTTTAAGTTTGTGATTATTTTATTTGCAAAGTTTTTTTATATATATGTCAACATTGGTACGGATTATATTAAGTTTTGTTATATAAATTTCTGTATAAGTAATCGAAAACATTATTTTACAGTATTATTCAGTTTTTAGCAAGATGTCAGCAACCAGATGGTGGATTTGGAGGTAATTTATCATCATTAAATGTTTTTTAGTATAATTTCTTTTATTTTGTAGCTAATATTTTAATAGATTTTATAAATGGATTATTTATATAATAATTTAATTAAATAATTGTAACATAAAACATATTATATTATATGAAATAATTGTTATTTGGCTTTATTGAAAGCTAAACAAGGGAAAATATATAGAAAAGTGTAAAAAATTTATAAACCACAAAAATTTTAAATATAACTCAACAAACATATCACTAAACTTAATGTACAGGATGTTTTGTAAGGCTGGAACCATAGGATTTATGTAGAACTTTGTTTATTCTTTTTACAGGTAAAGTGTGGTGTTGAGTAAAGAGGAACAATTATGTTTTTAGTGGAGACTTACAATCAGTGTGAAGTTGCCGAAGAGTTTAAAGAGCTGTATACAGACCGCCACACAATTGGCAGGAAATCTGGATGCATCGCATTAAACTCTTTGGTGAGTTCACACCGACTTCAGGTCCCAACCATAAAAATAACTGTCTTTCCTCTCTACTTGGCAGCATGTTTTATCTGTAAAAGAATAAGCAAAGATTGAAATAACTCCCGTGATTCCGTATTTATGCAATATCTTGTGCAAAATATCAGAATTCAATTTTAATTATTTCTTAATAATATTTTGATACATAAATAATAACTTATCAATAGAAGCATTTTTATTCAGTTAATATTTATATGCAATATGGCAAGTGGCATCCATTGTATTTACAATCAGTTTATACAATACTCCATATATTATTTGCATCTAATTTAAATTTGCTAGATCTATTCTATTTTTTCTAATTTTTTAATTTAAATTTAATTATTTTTGGCAGGTGGACCTGGACAGCAGAGTCATCTGGCACCCACATATGCTGCAGTCAATGCTCTTTGTATTCTTGGTACAGAAGAAGCTTATGAAGTAATTGATAGGTTAGTATTCGAAAGAATGAGTTTCTGAAAATACAACAAATTAATTAAAGAATCTAATAGTTTCAGAAATATTATATTAACTAGCTGTTACCTGTGACTTCGCCCATGTGGATTTTGCAAGCAAACCCCATTTATATTCAGTATTTCAACAACCATAGTGATTGTTATATAACACCAACTGCTGAGAATCAAATGAACTGTTTTCAATTTGATCAATTTTCTGGAATGTTTACAATCGTTCTATAATTGAACCGATATGCAATAACAAATTCAAATTTAAAACGGTTCAAACATTTGATTAAAAAATCGAAATATATAAAAATATTTATAATAATGTCTGAAATGTTATCAATTTAATACACCTAAGTACTCAATGAAGACTAAACATAGTTGAAAACAAAAAATCTCATCTAAAATAGTACAATAGAAGCCGTTCTTCAGGTTAAGCCTTAATTAATGCTCTCCCTCTCCCCCTGCAGGGGAATTTCCAAAAATCCCTTCTTAGTGAGCATATCCTAACTGTTTACCAAATTTCACTTCTAAGTTCAGCAGTTTGCTCTGGGTGATGATGAATCAATCACTCAGTCAGTCAGGACAAGTAATTTTATATATTTAAATAATGGAAATATTTGTTAAAAATTGAAAATTGTTCAGTGACTGAATTTATTAATTCTGAAAATTAAATTTTTCTCCTCAAAAATAGGGAGAAACTCCAACAGTTTCTATATCAAATGAAAAATCCAGATGGATCATTTTCTCTTCACAAAGACAGTGAAATTGATGTCAGGTATTCATGAATTGTAGATTCGATTGCAAATACTCTACAAGTTATTAATGAGAAAATTTTATTTTAAAGGGGAGCTTACTGTGCTCTGGCCGTGGCGAGACTGACAAATATTTATACTCCAGAATTATTTGAAGGAACAGCTGACTGGGTCAGTCGGTAAGTAATTTTTCCATCCTTAATTGTTGAAAATAAACAAAATTTTAGATATTTTAATGTTTGGTTAATTAGAGCTAATTGTGTGTCTGGCACATTAGGCAGCAAGAGCTCTCCCGCCATTTTTTTCTGGAAGAATTTACATTTTTCAGCTTAGTATTAATATTCTCATATCATAAGCATTTAGAGCAAATAAGCAATCAAATAGTCCAATTTATTGATATTAAACTATTAGATTTAACAACAACATTCTGACTTTTTATAAAGGAACAGATTTGTTACTATCGGAGACGAAATATATTTTACCATTAGCATTCTGACAAATGCATAATAAAAGAACTATGATTTACATTTGGAATATTAGTTTTCTAATATTAAAGTGTGAATTATAGTCGATCCCTGTATAACACTGTTGATAATTCCGTTTTATATGAATTCCATGTTGTACGAGTCACTTAGATTTTAAAAATACGTGTGCCGGGCTGTGAATGGCTCACATATTTGTAAAATCTAAGTGACTCGTACAACATGGAATTCATATAAAACGGAATTATCAACAGTGTTATACGGGTTCGACTGTATATCTGGTCATAAAATTCATTAATTTTTTTGATACTGAAAATTGTTTGAGAGATCAAAAGAACTTCCCATAAACTCCCAAAATAAATTTTAATATTCTGAATTGGATAACTGTTTCCTCATTTATTCAGTTCTGTCTACAATAATTTTTCCTCAGTAAAAATTAGACAACTTTTTGTAATTTCATATCGTACGAATTAAATTTATATGCCTTATTTCCATTTCAGTTAAATCATAGGATTTATGTAGAACTTTGTTTATTCTTTTTACAGGTAAAGTGTGGTGTTGAGTAAAGAGGAACAATTATGTTTTTAGTGGAGACTTACAATCAGTGTGAAGTTGCCGAAGAGTTTAAAGAGCCGTATACAGACCGCCACACAATTGGCAGGAAATCTGGATGCATCGCATTAAACTCTTTGGTGAGTTCACACCGACTTCAGGTCCCAACCATAAAAATAACTGTCTTTCCTCTCTACTTGGCAGCATGTTTTATCTGTAAAAGAATAAGCAAAGATTGAAATAACTCCCGTGATTCCGTATTTATGCAATATCTTGTGCAAAATATCAGAATTCAATTTTAATTATTTCTTAATAATATTTTGATACATAAATAATAACTTATCAATAGAAGCATTTTTATTCAGTTAATATTTATATGCAATATGGCAAGTGGCATCCACTGTATTTGCAACCAGTTTATACAATACTCCATATATTATTTGCATCTAATTTAAATTTGCTAGATCTATTCTATTTTTTCTAACTTTTTAATTTAAATTTAATTATTTTTGGCAGGTGGACCTGGACAGCAGAGTCATCTGGCACCCACATATGCTGCAGTCAATGCTCTTTGTATTCTTGGTACAGAAGAAGCTTATGAAGTAATTGATAGGTTAGTATTTGAAAGAATGAGTTTCTGAAAATACAACAAATTAATTAAAGAATCTAATAGTTTCAGAAATATTATATTAACTAGCTGTTACCTGTGACTTCGCCCATGTGGATTTTGCAAGCAAACCCCATTTATATTCAGTATTTCAACAACCATAGTGATTGTTATATAACACCNTAATATTCTCATATCATAAGCATTTAGAGCAAATAAGCAATCAAATAGTCCAATTTAATGATATTAAACTATTAGATTTAACAACAACATTTTGACTTTTTATAAAGGAACAGATTTGTTACTATCGGAGACGAAATATATTTTACCGTTAGCATTCTGACAAATGCATAATAAAAGAACTATGATTTACATTTGGAATATTAGTTTTCTAATATTAAAGTGTGAATTATAGTCGATCCCTGTATAACACTGTTGATAATTCTGTTTTATATGAATTCCATGTTGTACGAGTCACTTAGATTTTAAAAATACATGTGCCAGGCTGTGAATGGCTCACATATTTGTAAAATCTAGGTGACTCGTACAACATGGAATTCATATAAAATGGAATTATCAATCTACAATAATTTTTCCTCAGTAAAAATTAGACAACTTTTTGTAATTTCATATCGTACGAATTAAATTTATATGCCTTATTTCCATTTCAGTTATTTCAGATTATCTACTGTATTTGGATTATTGACACTCTACTGTATTTGAATCGAGCAAGCTAGATATGTTTTAGAACAGTTTTCCCACAATTTGACATTAAAAAATTGTATAATTTAAATATCATTTGATGTTTTTTATCTTTGACATTTAATATTCACTCACATGATTATGCACACAGCTTATCGTGGAAAATTATGTGAAGTTTTTAATGTAGTTAACTACAAAATAAACATAAATTAATTGATGTGTATTGATTCGTCTGAGTGACAAAATATATTAAGTTATAAATACAGTGGATTCTCGATCTATCGTTTTTGGTGGGACTCGGGGGATAAAATGACTGATGTGGGAAAATGATCGGTACGGGAAATTTGTGACGTTGATGTTTTTATTGTTGATCTGATATGAAAGATGTAGATCAAGAATCCACTGTACTCTGTTGTGTGCTTCTTAATTTACATAATCGAGATTTCTTACGATTACTGTTAGCTTATTATTTAATTTTTTATTTACACGTCTGAATCATTTGTTTCTTTTTTGTTTTGTCTTTGTCAAGTTATTTGACTTTCAAATGTAATTTTGAGATATTTTTAGTTTTCTTTCCCCTTGTCTCTGTTATCAGATATTTCCTTAGTAATTTTCTTTGGATATCAAGAAATTGATACGATGCATGCTCAATAACCCATACTAACGTTCAGATTAGCAAAGTCTGCATGGGTGTACAGCAGGATACGTTTTTAAGTGAAAGTCGTACTATAAGCTATATATAACACAATGAAAAATATTTATATATCTAAACATAAAAAAAGTATGGGTGACTGCAAATTTTTGGTTCCATTATAATCTTTCAGACCTCAGCCGTTAAGTGGCTTGTACCTGTACTCGTATTACAATCTTCATTACCAAAATACACCACATACTCAATGTTATAATGCAGGTAATACTTGTACAATACAAAAATTTGGTTGATATTATACTTTACTGAGTTGATACGCTTTGCAATAATAAACCCAAATTCAGTATTAAAAATTAAGAAATATATCTCTAATGTCTATCGATACCCATACATTCCATAGTTATTTGTTTTGATTTGCATCGGAATCTCTAGCTTTGAATGTTTTTGGACTGTAAAATGTCACACGTGGAGAATTTCATAGATGGTTTCTTCAGAAAAAACATTAAGTAATTAATGGTAAATCTTTTGTCTTAATTTGCACTTTTGTTTTAATTTTGTATACTGTAAAAAAGAGGTCATTTCATGTAGTGTTGTTATGTTTTTGCATAAGTTAAATGTTTCAGAAAATTATTTCATTTGCAAAAATTCAAAGTAAAAATTATTTTTAACAGTTGTCAGACGTACGAAGGTGGTTTTGGTGGCGTTCCGGGTATGGAAGCCCACGGAGGATACACGTTCTGCGGATTCGCTAGTCTGGTCTTACTGGGAAGAGAACACATGTGCAACATCAAGAGTCTTTTGGTAATGTTTTCTTTGTTATGTAATACTTAAAAAAATACAACTATGAAAATACAACTGCCCCCATTTCCCCAGAGGTGGCTGGTGAATCGACAGATGAGGTACGAGGGTGGCTTTCAGGGAAGGACCAACAAATTGGTGGATGGCTGCTATTCCTTCTGGCAGGGTGGAATGTTTCCTCTCATTCACCGTGCACTCAGTAAGACAGGTAAGCGAAACAAGAACACGATTGTAGTTTGCTTATTTAGAGTCTTGTTTTACATGGGATTGATAATGTGCAGGTTGTGTTTTTGTGCACGACAAACAGTTGTCTCGTAAATTATCTAAGCAGTCATCTATGCTACTTGGGCAGAGTGCAAATTTACAAAGTATCCACCAATACTAACCCCCATATAAAATGAGATATACCATATATTGGTAACTAGCCAGGATATTTTAAATTGTCAAAGTAAAATTTTGGAAGTCAAAATACAATTCTGCAACTCCTGCAAATTTCTGGGAAATGATGGCATGTAGATGATGTCTTTGATGTATCTCCATGGGAAGAAGTTGCAGGTCATTGGATCTGGAAACTTGAGCAGTTACCGGAGCATTCCAATCTATTGCCGAGGAAGTGTGCAATTCAAAGAGGGTGAATTGCATGCTTCTACAAAAATGAAGTGGGTCCTCATTTTTTCAGAAGACATAATTGTCAGAATCTTGATCTGGCCAAGGAAACGTCAGATTTTGAAAAATGACCACAGAAGACAGAATGCCTTCTGTTGTGAAGTTACCATTTTAATTTATGGTGCCACATAGAAGCAGTAGACAAAAATGTGTTTGAATGCAGGCGGTAGACGAAACTTGTACACCAGTCGATAAAGTAACTGTCCATCACATACTTCTCGGGTAATCATTTTGTTTAGTGAGAGAGAAATATTTTAATTTCAGATAATCTAACAATGAGTATGGAAAATTGGTTATTCAATCAAATTGCATTACAAGAGTACCTTCTAGTCTGCTGTCAGGCTGCTCTGGGCGGACTGATCGACAAACCAGGAAAGTAAGTGTCTTTTTCTTTTCTTTAATGGTATAAAATGGGGCCAAACGATTGACTTTCATCATTGCAGGAACAGAGATTTTTATCACACGTGTTATGCACTGAGCGGACTCTCCGTGGCCCAGCATTTCGGAGGAGGTCTATTTGCCAAAAGCTGTATCGTCGGCAATCCAAAAAATGAGTTGGTAAGTAAAAAGATTTAGTTTGAGTAGTGTAATTATTGTTTTGAAATAAAGTATTGCATTATTTGTAATCACAGCTCTCCAAATTTCCAATAGCATATCAACATTATTCTCTTTACTTAGCAGATAAATATGTATTTGTTCCACCATTCTTGCATTTGTGAAAATGTCTTCCCTGTAATTTGTTCTTGCCTATCCCTTATTACTCCCACCTCATCACATGCTTCTTGTGCTAGGCTCGTTCTTATCCTTGCTAGTTTATATTTCTCCATTCCTATTGTATTTGTCTTTGTCCGTTTAATATTCTCGACCGACTTTTTCTCGTTCCTCGTTGCGTTGTTTTTTCTTAAATGCAACTCTTCTGTCGTATCTCATCACATTTCTACTTAATGCCTTATAAATGGTTGTATTGTCAATGTTAATAACCATTCTTTCTTCTAATATTTCTTTTCTACATGCTCTTGTGCCACAGAAAAACAGTTTACCATAAATATTTGGTGGGCATTGTCAATGACTTTGTATGGGTCATACTTTATTCCTACATGCCTAGACAGATATAATTACAGAATATTCCCAAAGGAGAACTCACAGGAATATCGTGTAGTAGTTCCCATTGGAACTACTACACGATATTCCTGCACCTGTGGACCGACATGTTTCGGGCAGAACAGAGCATCTGCACATTCCAGCCCAGACGTGGGAATATCTCCACAGCACCTTCCCCCCCCATGACTGACTGGCCAAAGTGGATCCATTGCTTGGCCGTCAGGATCACGCCCCATTGATTTCTTTCTCCTGAATACTTCAAAGGCCTTCCTTGTCTATGAGATCCACTTGGCCTCGGATGCTGATCTCATCACGAGCCACTGTGATAGATGGCCAGTCACATCTGCAAAAGTGCCAGATTTTTTAACACATTCACCAATGCCACAAGACATGTATGGCTACAAACAGAAAGAACTGCGAGCACTTTCTCTGAACTTTAAATGTATCATATGTCTAATAAGCACATTGTACACCTTATGTTTATTCCTTTCTGTGTGATTTTTCCTGTACTTCCTAGCAACTTTGGATGCTGTTTGCAGTTATATGTTCCTAGGTAAAAATGGTTTGTTTTTGTATTCCTGTCCTACCTTTAAGACCTTTCAAATCATCCTGTATACAAGTTGATAACCTATTGTAAATGTTGTATATAAAACCACGTGTCTTTGCACCCGTAATTGCATTAAAAGAGTTATCCATTTATCGACAAACTAAGTGAGCTTTACCCCCAGTAGTCCATGGCAGCCTGACTCCCCACTCATTCTCAATATAGACTATCTGTAATAAAAATTTTGCAACAATTTGTTACTTCCAGTGTTGGCATTTCTAGCTCATTTTTTTTTTTTAGATAGGAAGAAGTGTTATGAGTATTTTAAAATAAAGTAGATAGATATAAGGAGAGAAAATTGATAATACCGTTGCAAAAATTTGTTTGTCATTTCTTAATTGCAGGTTCCCACCCATCCAGTGTACAACATTGGTGTGGACGCGGCAGTACAAGCCATGCAGTACTTTCGAGAGTTGCCCATGCCGGAGGGCAGGAAGAACGCTGGATCCGATGACTCGTGAGCGGCAAGGCGGTCCAACCCGAGGAAATTTCTCGTTTTGTTTTTATCATTCAGTTTGTATCAAATTCTTTCCACGTTAAAATAAAAGAGGGTTGACGGACTCTGCCAACTTCAAAATCTTCTTGGTCTTTCTTAAACCAAAAGTTTCCACTCATGACCATTTCGAATAAAACTCCCGGAGAAATTTTAGTAATAACCCCACTCAGGATCATACAGTATTATGTTAGAAATATAAACTTGCTTATTTCGATTCGTTGAAGTGAATTTTATCATAAGAATACAGTGTAACAGATTTTGTCAGAAAATGGATGTCGAATAAACGGACTTAATTCTCCGAGCAAAAAAAATTATTCAAAACTAATGCTTATTTAATGGGTTGCAATTTGAAAAAATTGTAGATCTATAAATTCCCACCATTCCTTAGTTTAATGTAGATACGTCATCTTAGACGTATCTACATTATTATTTTTGGAGGAACCATTAGCTGGCTTCAATGGGATGGGAAGTTCCTTTTCCAAATTAAAATTTTTTTAGTATTCTTATCCCTTTTTATATGACTGGCACGGCTCTATTGTTAAAGAAAGAGTACAACATACGGGGCAAGACAACAAATTTGAGGTGAAGAGCATATATTTAAGATTCAAAATTGCAGCCTGTCGCAATAAATATTTGCTCATTGGGATTATTTTTACAATAAATATTCTATAATAATCGATTATTTTGTGTACACTTATCCAAATTATCTCAAATACCTATGCCAATAAAACGTCGGTATCCAGATTCTACCCACTTCTGTTGCAATGGGAAAAAGTAACTTTAAAGATTGGTTTGTTTTGATTAACTAACAATGTAAAAGACAAAATTAGGCCAATCTTTCGTAGGTGGATAGAAATAAATCATGAGTAACTTCAATATCTATTTTTTTTATTAAAAAACAGTTTATAAAATAGTATAGGTAAATAGTTTTTTTTGATAAAAATTAGTGATCAATATTAAATTTTATTAACAATGAAGTGTTTTTGGCTCCGGTCTAGTATAATTTGTGGCTTAATATTTTTAACAACCGAGAAAAAAAATGATAGCTACTCATTTCTTACAAAAATTTTATAACAACTCACGATAACATAATAATGCAGTTCTATTAATTGATGTGTACTTATTATTTGCAACTGGTGACAGAATCTGTCTTTTGATTAGGACTTTTGTTTCTCCGTAACCTTTCGGTCAATTTCTGTAATTGTGGTTTTTGCTAGAAATAAACAAATTATTATTAAAATAAAATAAAGAACAAGTAGTTTACCAGACAAAAGTAAATACAGTATAGACATAGTAGGCAAAGTTTACTTCAATCAACATAAAAATATGCAAATTTATATCTATAAATTAGGATTTTTACCATCAGTGGTTCCAATTTCTTCAGATGATCAAGATCCGCAACGGGAACAAGATCGGGACGACCGTGGGCGCACTGGAAAGGCAGTTTACACAGCGTCAACAGACCCAATAACTTGCGACATTCATCTTTGGATAACAGGTCACCAAACTTTATTGCACCTGAATTGAAAATTAATTAAAACTAACATTAATGAATCTGAGATGAAATGGTCAATAAAATAAAACAAACAATCAATATAGAATTATGTGCAGATTCTTTATTTTAATTTCAATTAAAATAATTCATAATTTTTTTATAAACTTGTGTAAATCTTTCTAGCATTTATGAAGTTTAAACATTGAACTTTTTATAAATGAAATGTTTACAAGAGAGTTTAACAAAGTTATACTCACTCAAACTGATACTAATACATACTAATGTCCAAAAAGCACAGATTATTTCCTAAATGTTGCAGCAATGCCTCCGACATGCACGGAATGGGCTGGTGGTTGAGAGTTCTAATGTAATCTACCATTTTTTGGGCAAACGAATTTGGATTTCCAACCTCAAACTACTCCAGCTGTGCAAAAATAATTACAAAAACAAATGCCGTGGTGCGTCTATAGTGCAATTGCAGTCCGGTATGCCACTGGATTGAGACTGCCAACCATGGAGATGTATCATCCACAAAAATTACAAAAGTGTACCTGCAAATGTTGACTGTAGAATTTAAAAAAATCTTTTTGAAGAGCCTTGGGTTTGAGAATAGTTTACAAAGAATTAAAAAGATTTAGTTTCATGACTGGTGGTTTACGAATAGCAACCTTAATGTCCGACACCCACATGCAATTCTAACTTTGGTAGCATAAGACAAACTTCCACTGCGACATAGACGAGCAGAAATGTATTGCATATGGTGACAAATAGTGATAATTTTATAAAAATCTAATTTTACTTACAGTTAGTGTCATGGGATGAAATGCTCTCTGACACTATTCTTGGTAAAGCATGTTTGTTATTGTATGCAATAGTCAACTTATAGCATTTACTCTTTGGCCAAGTTTGTAACGAGAGCTTATTTTTGCTTAAATCTTTATGAGTCGTCTCGTAGTTTGCAAAGGAAACAGGAAATTCTTCGTGTGGAAAACTATGAGACATCTCCATCAACTCGGAATTAAAACTAAATACAGTAGAGTCCCGAAAACGCGGCCTAATGTGGACCGAAAGGTGGCCGAGTTTGTGAAAATACCAGATTATCGGGAACGGGGTTAAAAAAGAATAAGTACGAGTGTTTCCTCAGAAAATACTGTACTGTACTTGTATGTATTGTTTGCTTGAGTATATACCAGAGAATAAACTGCCCAAATACCCTTAAACAAAGGAAAAGTACATACTTTATGAAGGCCTTTACTACATGAAAATGAAAATTAATGAATACACAGTGTACAGTAATTTACCTGATAAGACAGACCTCAGAAAAATACTTTGAGGCATAAAGCTGTCTATAATGAAAATTAACTAGGGGTTTTTTTTGCCCTGCCAGGGTGTGGCTGAGTTATCTGGACTGCCGGGTTATCGAGTGCCGAGTTTTTGGGACTCTACTGTAATACTAATAACAGAATTTGGCCTAGATTAATTGAATCAAATACATTATTATTAATGCTAAGAAAAACCATCATAGGCTTAAAAAATTGCATTATATATTGTAGAAATAACTATACACAATGCCTAAATCCTTTTGTGTCAAATAACTTGTCAAACCATAAAAAGTCTGCAATCCAAAGAAACAACTCATTACACATTTCAATGGAAATAAAAAACCAAACACTGCAAAAGGAATTATTTACAAGCAATACCACCTACCGAAAGACACCGCATCCAGTTAAGCTGTGCCCGATATATACAAGATTAACAACACGTTTGTGGCATATTCTTTGTTTAATGTAGAGAGAGCAATTGGCTCTTTATTGTTTATTTAAAAAACCTGTTCCACAAAATTGATAAAACCAATTAAAAATTTCAGTTATAAAACATAAGACTAGTGAAAGCTCACATTTCAAGTCTACTCATTTTAGGAATATTAAAAAGGTTTGCTGTCATTAACTTGACTTTCCTTTCGATTATGTAGACAAATAAATGCAGTTATATTCATAATAAAATATTGCTGTCATGTATCAAATATTTTCATTAATGAATCGAACCATTTTTAATTTAAATATATTATTCCGAATGTTTTAAAATGTATTATATAATTTTAAACAAAAAATTACATATCTTACTTCGACAGGCTTGAGAATTTAAAACATTTAATAATGTTTTTGGTAAGGAAGAGATCTTATTACCCGTCAGCTGAGTTATTTCCATCCATTCTTGCAATAAATTCTGTTAAAAAAAAATTAAATTTGAATGTAATTTTTAATTTATACAGTTTTTTAAAACTAATTTATATTTATATTAATATTTAAAACCTTGAATGCAAATCTGATTCATACTACTATTCTCAATGAGAAAACCAGCACTTGCAGGTGTCTGTCCATTGTTGGGGCCAAGAAGAGATTACAAAAATTGCTTTAACAATTTTAAATATATCCTTGGATGATAATTTAAATCTTATATTTTTTTTTATGTTTAAGTTTTGATAATTGATGCAACCATTTCTAGTGTATGTTTAATTTTGTGGTCTCCCACTTCACCAATTATTTTGGAAAGATGTCATTTCCAAATACGAAGGGAAGGGTAAATATAGCTAATTATTAGTGATGGGACGATACCCAAATTTCTCCTGGTTCAGATTCTTTCGAAAACTTTCAAAAATTTTCTTTAGTTTAGAAAAATTGATTATCTACATTACCAGCATGCTACATTTGTTAATTGATAAACACTAATCTTTTGAAAGAAATATGAAAATTCTCCATTTATACATGGATATGCCTGCTTTTTTTGTGTACTACTAAATAAATTTGTAATCTTGTTTTGGATAGAGTTAATATTGCAACACTACCCTCAAAGAAATTACCTTTTAATTCCCTTTTAATTGACAAACTATCCAATCGTGTTGAGGGTCGCCATCTTTTGTGGGGAAATAACACTCAAACAATTTCTACTGCTTTGTGACAAAAGGAAAACAAAGTTACAATTAATTTAAAAAAATTGTAATTAAGGGTTCAGGAAGTGCAGGCAAAATTAAATAAATAATAAAATAATAATTAAAACTCTGGCTTTTACATTGAAACCAAAACTAAAAATAACATTAAATTAATTAAAATTCAAATTAAATCAATTGAAAATTAAAACAACATTTTTAAAAACAGTTTAAAAGTTATGAAATTTTCAAATTATAAATCAAATTAATTTTTAAATTCTTTATATTCTTGATTATAAGACACACCTTTCTTGTACTTTTAAAGACTGCTAACTGCTGTACTTTTAGACTGGCCAATAAAATGCTCAAATCAATGTGCAAAGAAAATTTGCACAAACAAATGTCCTATTGAAATGCCATTATGCTTCTAGTTGCACAAAATATAGGTACAGTACCACATTAATACATTTTATTGCAGAGTAGTTTCCATCTAGTGAGTTGTCCAGTATTTAACTAGTTTAACACAAGGCAGCATTTCTTAAATTAGGTCACAACTGCTCAAGAGGCAAACTAAAAATTTTAGATAGTTCCAAAAATTTGGAAGAACTAAGGTTTATGCATACAAAATAAGTGTATAAAGAAAGAAATGTGTTATGTCTTTGTTAAATTAATATTTGATGTGCTGTAATTTTACATATATATATAAATGTAAAATTTAGATTATATCCATTCAAAGAGGTTTATTATGCACCATATAAGAGTATCGTAAAAATTTCTTTGTAAAATGGGGTCTAAAAATTTTTTTTATTGTGAGAAGGGATCACAAATAAAAAGTTTAAGAGATTCCGGAGAACCTAGTTAATATTTCTATGGATAAAGGGTGTAAGTGTAATGGATCGAGATGGCCGTATGATAATTTCGAGTGACGTATACAACAATTTTCTCTGGTAAGGTTGGCAGCCCTGACCTAAAGTCACCATCTCCCCTAAAATGGGGACAATACTGACCAAGTGCAATCTCTGGCCACTGACTTCTCGAAAGAGAAGACCATCACGACAAACGTCATCTTGTGTACAGGGTGTTGCACACACACTGTTTTGTCAATGTAAAAGTTTTCAATAAATTAGTATTTAATTGTTAATATTGTAATTTTTAAAAAATTTTTAATCTGACTGAAACAAATAGTTAATTTTCTTACAAAATGGGAAGAATTGGAAATTGTGATGAGATTATCTTGATTCCAATTAATCATCCCATCACTATTAATTATCCTTTTAAATTTTCAATATTTACCTAAATATTTATTATACTTTATACTCATACTGTGCTTATTTTTTGTATGTAAATACATTAAACATGATGGATTAAAATGTATTTTTTAGAATAACAGACTCTGATATCTACATGAATGCTTAGAAAAAAGAAAAGAATTAAGAAAAAATTAAACAGATTTTCAAATTTAAATTTAATTCAAGAGTTCTGTTGGGCTACTCTGTTAAAAACTAAGAAAATCAAATACCAGTAGATAAAAATTACTACGAAAATAATTTGTACAATAGCAATGTTTGGTGCCAGCTTTAGGAATGGTCAAACCAGCCACAAAACACACAGACAGAAAGAGAGTTCAAAATTTATGCTAATACACTGATTAGAAAGCCTGAGGCACGCCAAAACTTCTTGCACCAAGTAAATATGAGACTAGAACTGGTACTGGCTTCATATATTACAAATCTGACTTTTTATTACATTGTTTAAATCAGATAATTACTCAAAACATACCTCAACAATTGTGTTAATTCTTGTAGTCTTCTTTTTGCTTTCATTTGAAATTTTTTCAAATAAACAAGATGGAACAGAATGAACACGTATGGAATCGTCGTCAACAGTTACTTTCAGTCCGATTTTTTCTAAATGACATTCATATGCTTTTAACATTCTCATTTCTTCTGGCCTCAAGTGAACAGAGATTGGAACATCCAATGATGACGACTTTACGTTTTGTTCCTCAGAATTATTTTCATATGAATCTGTAAAATAAATTTTTTTTTCAATATTACTTGATATATGAGCTGCTCACTTGCCAAATTGATTAACTCCACAAAACGAAAAGTACAAAAATTAATAATATTAATTATTCTATAAAATTTCTTTTAAACTTTAAATTTAAATAGACAGTGTAGAATGTATTTTTATATATCATTACATTAAACCATAGCTTTAATGTAATGATATACAAAATTAGTTATGCAAAAAATGTAAAAATAATAATGATTATATTAAGAATTTACAAATGGAGTTAGTCGATTTGGCCTGTGAATGGCTCATATATAGTCTTAAAAAAATTTAAGTGAATAAATAATTGAATTAGCAACCTTTAATCAACTTCTCAAGGCGTATCCTTTCGTGTACTGCATGTTGATCAAAAAGCACAATCAAATTGCGAGCTATATTTTAAAAACACTTTAAATAAAATATTTCATCAAAATTAATAATAAATTAATAATAAGTACTGAAATATATATATAGCATTTAAGATTTTTATATATATAATTTTGAGTAAGAACTGTACTTACATTGAAATTTTTCTATTTTAGGTATTAAACAGGCAATAAATTTACAATCCACTTGACCAATCACCTATGATTTATTTACAGTTAATTTTAAAAAATAAGAAATATATCATTTTTAAATGTACAAATTATATAACAATCATATATGAAACATATCAAAAACTGCTGTATGTTTCACCTTTTCCTTTCACTCTCAAACCTAATTGTCTTAGATCAATAAACGCAAAGATATCCAAGATAAAAAGACAAACTTGAGAACCAAAAATCTAATTTCAAACTGCTAAGGTCATTACATAATGAAAAACCATATTAATAAAAAAATCAAAATTAAAAATATATAGCGATTTGTAAATAATTCAACTCTTGCATTTAAATGCAATTTATATATATGTTACCGCTAAAGCTCGAAATCCGTTAATGTGCGCATTACCTAGCTAATCTGCAGATTAACTAGGGTGATCCGTTAAAGCTGCGAAAATTATTCCATTTCTCAAATTACCTAGGTAATGTTCAGATTATCTAGGTAATCTGCAAATTACCTACTAGGCACTCGGTAAAGTGAAAATAAGATTTTTGCTGGAACAACAGCAACGTTTCTGTACGCTTAAATTAACATAATGTTATTTATTTAATTTTCAATATCTAAAGAATCAAGTTAATACAATCAACAAATTAGTTGATTGAATCAATCATCAATCAATTAAAAAAACTTTAATACAAAAATCAAACGGTTTAAAATATTACTACAATTAGGGAAATGAATTTGCAAAACATATGATAAAATTGTACTTACTTATTAGTGCAATCTAAAGATTGGTGACACTTTGAATTACGTAGCAATTGGTTTTTGCGACAAGCACGCCTATTTGTGGTACATTTAGATTTGCAGTCACATTTTCTGAAACCCTGCCCAGTACCAAGGGATTGTTTTATTGCTGTTTGACGTAAAGATATTTCTACAGCAGGGACATCCATCTTCTTTCGTTAAAAATCTCTCTTTGCAAACACTGAATTCAGATTTTGCATACAATTGTTTTAAAATACCTGTTTTAGTATCAAGTTTATAAAAGCCATCCTCTGTTTTACTAAGAACCACAGCTAAAATTGAACGTGCATCAGTTTTTGCTCTGTCTTCTTCGGGTACTTTAATTCTCACAGCGAAACCTTCATCGACGTTTGGGTGCTTTGCATTAGAAACTGCTAACATTTTCTTTGCTTGCTTTTCTAAACATTTCTTGGCTTCATCACGCTGTATTTTCTGATCCATATTCTTTTTACAGATGATGCACAATACATTCTTACCATACCCTTCCTCTTTAGGATCTACTTCACCACAAACTGCGTGAACAAACATATTACACGATTTACACTTGTGAGCACTTGATGCTGCTTTTGAGCAAACAATACAGACTATGTCTTGTATAGTGCTCTTTACAGGCTCCGTACGAAACTGTGATGGCGATTCTGCTGAAGTTGAGAGTAACTCAGTGATGACTTCTTCAACTTGCAGAGGCGATTCCTTGGAGGTGCAGGGTAACTGAATATTCTTCGTGACTGCATCATCAATCAACGGTATAGAAGGCAGTTTAAGATTACTATCGGTAAATTCTTGTATTTCTATAGGTGATTCTGTAGAAGCGGGGGATAACGGAATGTCCTCTTGAGTAAGATTTGACTGTGATCTCATAATCACAGTCTCTTGTGAATCTTCTAATTTTTCAAGGTCTTCTTCAGTTTTTATCGAATGTCAAACAATTCTCCGGCATGGACAAACTTTTTCAAACCTTTCTCGCGCATCTGACAACGGCTCAATGAGTTTTTCACAGCCTCGTACAGTCAACACATCACACCTTTGAATTATTTGATAATCTCGAGATGATTCTTTCTTCTTGGAAACTTTTATTTGCTTTACATCTTCAATTATGGAATCATACTTTGGTTTGTTATTAAAACACTACGTATTATATTTTAAATCTTCGCTAAAGAGGTTTGCGAAGAATCTTTTCTTGATTTTACTCACCAATTCGGTGCTTGCTTGCATTCTAGGATTTAAATTTATCTACGTAAAAAGAAGGAGTGGGGAAAGGAAGTGAAAGAAACAAACTTTTGAACTTTAACGATACGGAAGCCGTTAATGTGCAGATTACCTAGATACTCTGCAAATAACCTAGGTAATTTGAGAAAATGAACAATTTTCGGAGCTTTAACGGATCACCCTAGTTAATCTGAAGATTAGCTAGGTAATGTACACATTAACGGATTTTGAGCTTTAGCGGTAACATATAAATTTAATTAGATTTAGATATTTTTAGTTGTATTTTAAAGTAATAGAATGCATTGCTTTAGCTATTGTTAACATGTTTTTATTACCATCTTGAATATCAGATTTTTCATTTATTGTCTAAGATAACTAATTAATTATTTAATAGGTATTTTCAGTATTGGGATATATCAAAACACATTAAAAATAAGCAAATAAATAAAAAATGAGGAATATTTATTTAAAAAAAACTCAAAGAAATTTATATTATCTCTTAACAAAATAGACTAAATAATGATAAATAACTAGAAGGTAAGAATATAATTGCAACATTAATTATGTTCATGTTATTTTAATAAAAATATTTCATATTTAATGTTGATTTATTTTTTTAAATATATGATGTTGAATACATTTAATATATAATTCAATACAAAAAATGAAATTTAGAATTATAATAAAATAAATAATTATTTTCAAGCTAAAATATAGAATGAAAGATAAATCACAAATTAAGAATTAAGTAAAGATTTGAACATTCTTGGCTTCATCCTTAATATTTCAAATAACTGTCAAGTTATAAAATTTTAGATTGATAGAATAAAAACTGAATTTAATAAATATTGAAACTATTTTTAAGTTATAACAGAGAAAATAAATATAATTAAAATAATTTGTTTCAGTGTAGTTTTTAATCTAGAAAATAAAATTTTAAACGTTAATTTTATCCTTACCTTAGCATGATTCAAATCCGACTTTGATAAGGAATGTGGTTGTGTTAAGTTATAAACTTTAATAGTTGTTCTGGAAATATTTTTTATACTTGTATCAATTATTTCCTGAAAAAATTAAATTATTTTATATAATAAATAAATAGATGAATATGAATTGTTAAATTATTTATGTGAGATTAAACACCTATGATATGATTTTACTCTATTTTACAAAAACTTCTAAGTCTAATTCTCCATCGCTAGCATTAAGAAAACATCACTACGAAAAAGGATTGAATGTCATCTTTCTCATCAACAACTGCTAAGAAAGGATAACAATTTATTGTTAAAAGGATGAGAATGTCAGCATTCACCTGTATAAACAGGATGAATCTAACGTTGCACAAACCAAAGATTACAGTCTATGTTCCATTTCGAGCACTTCTCTTTGTCTCCCTGGATCACCTCTGACCAAACACCTGCAAAATTAACTTTCATCTTTGACAACATTCGGTCACATGATCCTTTTCCTAGGCCAAAAACAAATATAAGGCAAATGCACCCTACTTCGGGGCAATCGTCTCTCCGAAACCAATTTATCCTGTGCATCTTCCTAACTAAAAGTCTCCAGCATCAGTTCGATCTTGAAATACCTGCTCGATCTCGAAATCACCGAAGAAGGGAAAGAGATAGGATGTTTCACAACATTTTGTAAACTCTATCTGGTATATGCTGTTAATTATTTGTATTTGTATCTGAAATCATTTAACCTTTTTGTTAGCTTTTAGTTATTCATTAAATTTTAAATATTTTTCTTGTTTCTGAATGGTGTCTATTTCTTGGGTATCGCCAACACTTTACCAACGACCCCTCTCACCCTCTCACTCGACCTGACCAGATGTTCCCAAAACATGGGAAATGTGCCAAGAAGAAACATGCCATCCATTGACCCTGTGGGAGGATCTCACTAATCCGTTGCCAATTAAGTGGTATATAGGGATCCACTCACCCTATTAGCCCATGGTTTCTCATATTTATATCTACTCTAAACTGAGAAAAAAACACAGTCCACTTCAAATTAGGGGAGTAGTAGAGGGTTCATCGACTACGGCATTTTAAATTCCAAAGTAAATCTGCAAATTACTCTAAGATAACTATATGCACAATAATAAGCACTACTACATTTTAATACGTCATAAGGAAACAAAAGTAAAATGCATAGTACAATATGAAAAATATAGCTCATACTGATGACTAAGTCTTTACTTATTTAAAAACAACACAATAGCATTTTAAATAAATATTACAATTACAGTACTTAATTATACATTCATTATAAAAAGTACAATACATTAACCCAAAAAATCAACACTAAACTTAACAGTTAGACATGCATCATCGAGAACGATGCAATAGCTCTTTTGAGCACACATTCTCACTATCGCCAACCAGGGTAAATCTGCAACTTGGTAAATCCATCCCCAATAAATCAGGAGTTGACCATAATAAAAAGGCAATACAAAATAGCAAATTAGTTATGCAATCTGACATCAAGTGGTAAACTATCCAGTGGTGCAGAATATTTTCAGGACTCAAGATTTTCCCAAAAATTATTGCAACTAACACACAAAATAAAGCAACAATTTAAAAATCAATTAATAATTATTGCTACATAGTTTGGAAAATTCAAATTAAATCATACAAATAATTAACTAGATCTACTATATAATTTGCAATATAACACTAAACAGATAAATTAACATAAAAATTTTTTTAATTAAAAGAATGCTTTAATATAAACACATGCTATCATCATAGGATAGCTAGCACATACAATTATCAACTCAATGTAATATGTTGATTAATTAATAGAAATAAAATTGAAGTCATCATCAATGCCATGAATGGCCTATTTTTAGCACAAAATACTAATAAACTTTTTATTGCCCTTTATTTCTTTATGACAACAATTATTGTACAATTTTTTCCTGAAAATTATTTAAGAAAGGAGCGAACTTTTTTAGTTTTTGACTGTCTTTTCATAATCATCACCTCGTTTAAAAATTTGACCATACTTTTATGATAATTTAANGTGTTATAATGTGGATTGTTACGATTGTTGTAACCATGATAATATTTTTCTGCGTGTTTTCAATTTCACGCTGCGTTTCTTCGGTAATTACAAGCAACAACAAACATTTTTCATAAAATTTCTTTATTCTAATTTCTCGAAATCTACTTTCAGATCTATGATTCCTTTCAAGATATCAGAAGAATTACAAGTGCTTATCTCTCATTGCAAGATAAGCTAAAGGTAGGACTATATAGATTACATTAATACTAAATAAATGATGGACTTAATATTATAAATGATGGACTTTATATTATATCAACTTTTTATTGGACAGATTTTGGATTTCATGAAGAAATTTCAACAAAATAAACTCGGATTCAGCTGTGGAGAATGCTTTGTAATATCTAAAGACATGCCAGTTAAGGTAAGAAAATTCTGAAAACTAACAAATTTTATTTTTCTCACATTATTTGTGGAAAGAAATATAGGGATCATTTAGGATTCCTAAATGAGTTTCAACATCAAATTCTCGAAAACAATTCTTGTACATCTTAATAGAAAAACTAACAAATTTTATTTTTACAAAATTTAAGAAAAATTCTTAAAAATAGACAATACATATAAATGTCTTTAACTTTGTCTCTTTGCATGCACAAGGAAATTGACAGTTCCACAATGGAGTCAACCTTTCATTTGAGTCCACTCATTCACCTCAATATGTAAAACATTAAAAACATCCCTCTGGTGACAGCAGAATTAAAAAATTATCAAATGTATTTATTTGTTCTGTTTGTTGATTGTCAATCATAAAACTGTATGACAGACATCATCTGATTTAAAAGTGATGTGATAGGAAGTCACCAGTTTTTGTTTAGAAAGAAAGAATCAGTGATTTTAGAATCTGGATTCTTTGGACTTTGTCTCAGTCGAAACAGTAAGACTGTTAAACAATGATTATTTATATAAGGTTTTAATTAAAAGAAATACCATACAATAAATATTTATAAAAAACTAAAATTAATTTTTTTATAAGATATCAACGTAATTATTCAAAATAATTTGGTATTCTTTATGTGAGGCACGCAGAGGGCCACTGGGACAATCCCTAATGACCACTTACACTGCACAGTCTGCAAAGACCGACCTCGAAGTCGTTGAATGGCTTAGGAGGGCAAATTGAGTGGGGAGTACGTCGGGAAGTCGGCAGGCGTCCTTTCAATGACAGGCAACAGTTTAACAAAATAACAAAGCATTTATTGAATAACTAATCCTAATTACAAAGGCAATAATAATAGAGAGGTTAAATGTGGTTAAATATGAGTTAACTATACAAAGGGCCGCTCTTAACAGCTCTAACGGCTATTCTGAGAGAGAGAGTTCGCAAAGCTCTAAATAAAAATACCTCTATGAGGAACTTGTAAGAATTGTAGTCAATGCAGGAACTGTAGTATGGCGATAAGTATGGAAGTTTGAAGTTGTGGTCTGTCATATTTCAATGCCTTCTCCTTTCCATCTGATGTATGGAGACACAATGCACACATTAACAAGTATAACTTTCTTTGGATCGCTCTGAGCTTCCAGGGGCTCAAGCTTTTATATCACGGTTGTGGAAAATCTAACAAATGATCGACTTTTGTTGACGATGACAGTGCATTCCACTACTTAAGTGTCAACTTTCCCACCCAATTGTGAAAACAAATGGTGACCTCCGATCTAATTCTCACCAGGAGTGTTTTTTCTATCGGATATGTTTACAATTCTTTTTTATCGACAACTACGTAAAAATTGCCAATCTCACATTTATAATAATGCATATCAATTACAGTACATGTTATTTTATAAACTTGATAAATATAAATTAATATTCATTTAGTTTCATATAGGATTATTTATAGATATAAATGTAGTATATTTATATAGATGTTTAATTTATTTTCTTAATGTGCATTAAAGTAAACTTTTATGCATTTTTATATGAAAATCCAACTTTTTTAACATTTAGTTTTTATTTTGAAATAATACTTTTAATTTCAGAAAAGTGAAATTTAAAATATTTCAAAATAGCAATTATACTCACATTAAGATCTTGTTTCTGAAATACAGGATTTCTCCATTTGTGGAGCATACCTAAGATGTTATTATCTATATAACAAGAAAAAGGATAATTGAATTAATTTATGCATATGCATGTATTTTTGTAATTTAGAAAATAATATTAAAAAATCATTAATGTCACGTAAATATTAAACTGAAGAAAGTAATTTGTTCTTTATCATTTTTTGTTCTCTTTTCAAATTCTTAGAAGCAAGCATAGTTTAAGAGAATGAATCATACAGGAACACAACAATGATAGATCATTACATTGTACTGTACATCCATCAGTTTGGATGAATGTTGTGCAGTGAGGTTTTACCTTTTTAATGGTTTTAATACTAAGTTACTTCTTTTAGATTTTTATTTTTAACAATTTTATATGTAATTGCTTATATTTTAGTTTTATTAAACTTTTTATCAAACACCAGATATGTATTGAATAAAAAGGACTGATGATAGACAAATAGTCCAAAATGCATTTCCTTTGTAGTCATATCCAAGTCAATAAAGCCTGTATGATCTAGAATTGGTGTATTCCTGTATGATTAGTTCTCTTAAGTAATTTTATACTTATTTTCAAAAAGAAAGAAATTAAATTAACATGTTATATTTAATGATTATTCATATCCATTATATCTTTGCAAGAAATTGTCAATGTTAGAACTTACTACAGATATACACTGCGTAACATTCTGTTTAATAGTGGACCATAACACATTGGAACATGTTGGAAGTATTTAAAGGCTAAGAATGATTGCTTACTTAAAGAATGGACCCCTTTTTGGTGTTTGGACCTCATTGGTGATGATGTTGTCACTACAATATCACTCTGTCAGTTTCCATGGAAACTTAGTATTAATGACTTTGGAACCACATGTGCACAGTGTTCTGTATTTCTAAAACTCATTTATCAAGGAAACAACAGAACATCATTCATATGTGGATAAAAGAGCCATTAACACTATATCTACATTGAAACAGGCAGAGAGATAAGAGCAATAATAAGAAGGTACTCATAGACTCTATTGTGCAGGTTAAACTGAGAGCAAGTACAGGTACAGCTTTATAGATCTTTTTGTCACTCAAAAAAGAAACATTTCATTTCTTCTGTTGTCCAAACCAATAAAATAAGTTTTATTAGTTTTAGACATAAAACATCCAGAAATTTTGACACACTCAGTTTGGAATAATTCTGATATTATTGGGTCATACAATTCAAATTAAACTACTTAAATTCCTGCATGTTGCATTGTGTCACTTTGAATGGCACAATCCAACACTGCACCAAACTGTCTTGTCATGTTGCTTATGAAATGATGAATTCTAATTGGATTATGATTTCAAATGAGGAATTTAAAGTGTTTGAAAATTAAAACCTAAGTAAGAGATATTTTTAGTTTTTGTTTGTAATCTCAGAATCACTTTTAATTAAAGATTTATTGGAAATAACCCACTGTTATCTGTCAGTATGCAAATTAGTTCATCAGTTCAGCATTTCAAGTTAGACAGTGCCAAGGAGGATGATTTTTTTCACTGTTTTCAATTTGCTTATGCATGAAATTTGTAGTTCATATTCTGCAGGAATATAGTATAATACATTACCCTTTGGTTTTTTCAAAAAAGGCATTAAAATGTAGTTATTTTAAAGTTAAAAGCCAAGATGGTCTTGTAACAAAACAATTTATAGGCGTGATCTTTGTGTATGGAATAATACATGGCTGCACAGATCAAAGGTTTTTTCATTTCTTTTAGATTTGTGTTTTGTAAGGTTGAGGAATTGTCATCGTCAACACTATTTTGGCGGAAGTAAGTAGTGTTTCCTTAAATTGTCATTCAAGTAATAAGTAAATGTTTTAATGTAAAAAAATTAACAAAAAATACTGTACATAACTGTAATATTTTAAGCTAATCATTTTGATTAATTTTGAATTAAATTTTGATTTTTTGAATAGAATGATTTAATGAAATTAAATTAACAAAAAAGTTCTTATTTGTGATACCTTAGAAAATTCATTTTAGTTATATTCAAATAGATTTTGAATTTTTGAATAGAAATGTTTTTCTGACTTGTAAACAAAATTGGAACAAGATGTCAACAAATTCACAATACACTATTGGAATGCTTCATGCAAAACAACTTAACACAACATGCAGGTCTTTAATAGATAAATACCAAAATTAATACTGATAAATGTAGCAATATTTTATGAATTGTGTAATTTTTAAAACTTACTATTCTATTTAGTCCACAGCAATATATTATCAGCAAATTATTCAGAAATGATTTGTCACATATTCAGAAGAAATTGCATTAAAAATACAAAAATGTTAATGAATTATTAACAGAAGCTTACCTGATGTTTCTGATATTATACTCTTTGCATTCTGAAGTTTGAACTGTTTAGCTTTATCCTTTAACTTTTGTGAATAAAATGGTGTGGCATTATGACTAAGAAAAAAATGTGTCTTTTCTTGATTTCCAACTGTAAAAAAATATAAAAAAGTTAATTAAAATATTTATATTTCAATCATTAATAACTACAAGCATTCATGATTACATTCATAAAGAATTAATAACATTTTTAACCGTTTTTGACTCTTTCCATCCCGTGGGCACTAAAATGACTTTTTTTTCCAAGATCATCATGGGTTGGGCCAAGTGGCAAGGGATGGGACTCAATGTGTCCAGTATTTTTCTTAGGTTTTGATCCCCCAAATTTGATTCAGAATCTCTGACAGTTGTAGGCTGATGCATTGACTACCTTGGCTATATTGCTAATTATAAGCACAATATTACAATTCTAACAGTTTTTGACAAAATTCTTCTTTACATTTGAAAGTTATATTTGAAATTTAAAAACAATTCACAGAAATTTGTTTGATTACATTTTGGGCAAGTAATAAATCAATCTATTAATTATCAAAATATAAATTTCCTTTTTTAAAAATTAAATATCTACATTATAACAACAATTAGACAGTGAAATAGCTATTAATTCCAGCAAAATATTTTATTTTATAAAAAAAGATGTATATAATAATGTAGTACTTTAATTTTCATATTCTTTGTATTATATGATAAATGATACACTGAAATTATATTTTTAATTACTATATATTTATTATTATTATTCAGTAAACTAAATAAAAATTATATATTCAAATGATAATGCCAGATTCATTGAACCATAACTCGTCTCATTGATTATTTTAATTCTAATTATTAATCTTCTTCCATATTTCAAAACCATGTTGTGTCTTTATATTTATTTTTTAAAACCGCAATTTAGCCTAATAACCAACACTTGGTACAACATTCGCTTATTTCAGTTTTTGTTGATATGTGCTTATACACATGTTTCGGGCTTTGTTTCAACCCTCCTCAGTCAACTAAAAACATAAAACCAATTTTTACACGCATCATAACCTGACATATGAATTTAAAAAACCATTAATTATACGGTATTACTCTTGCATATTATGTGTAATAATATGCAAGAGAATGAGTCAAATATTATAAAAATAAACATTAGTAACAATATTAAAAATTATATAAAAAGAGAAGGAAATAAAATAATCATTAGAGATAAAAATTATTTTAAATACAAACACCAGATTAACAAAGTATATGACTTTTTGAAAAGAAATAACCTGGAAATTATAAAAGCTGACAAATCAAAGGAAATTGTTATAGTTTCAGAAAAATGGGTAGAAACAAAAAAATTAGAAGTCATCACGAATAATCAATTTTGAGAGTTACCGATCAACCCAAAAGATGTTATATATAAAGAAATGAAGAATCGTATTACAAAGTTACAAAAATTAGGAAAAATAAATGATGTTGAAAAATGGTTTATCTTAAATGAAAACAATGAATGGATACCAAAATTGAAAGTTCAGTTAAAAACACATAAAGCAGGTGAAAAGATAAGACCTATCATAGATTTTAAATATTCTACCTTGTATAATTTAGAAAAATTCTTGAAAAGTCGTTTACAAAAGTATCAAAACTCTCAATTTGCTATACATAATATGGATGAATTTATGTGCAACAAAAAAACTTAGATATTGATGAAACGTTGAGAATGGCTAGTCTCGACATTGTTAATATGTATCCATCAATAACCTGGGAAATGATCGAGAACAAACTAACACAGATAGATATGGAATCAGAAATTATAGATCTAATGGAGTTTGCATATAGAAGCAATTATTTTGAAATTAAAGACAGATATTTTACACAAACAGAAGCTATTAGTATGGGTTCTGTGATTGGTCCAAAGCTGGCTGAGCTTGTGATGATAGGTATAGATAATCATATTAATAGGATACCAGGAATATACTTTTATAGGAGATATGTGGATGATATTTTTGTTCTATATAGAGAAAAAGTTAAGTTAGAACAAATAAAGGAAGTAATTAATAAAATAACAAAAACAATACAATTTACAATAGAAAAAGAAGGAAAAATTAATCAAGAGATAAATTACCTGGATATTACAATTATAAGAAAGAAAGAAGAATTAGAATTTAAAACCTTTAGAAAACCTTGTTCAACACAAACAACAGTGAAATATAATTCAAATATACCACTATACATAAACAAAATATATTCTCTATGGAATATAATAAAATTAAAAATAGAACTAGTAAAGGTGATGACATAGATAATAATATTAAAAACTTGAAGAAAAAATTCCTGTTAGATGAATATCCTAATAGACTACTTAAAACTTGGGAAGATAAAATAAATAATAACAAAGAGAATCCTAAAGTGAATAAAATAGATATTGAAAAGACTCCCAGACAAAATGAAGAGAAAACTAAAACTAAATATATTCCATTCCTTTATATTAGGGGTTTATATGAAAAAATCAATAAGGAGATAAGACATACCAATGTAAAACTTGCCCCAAAATATAAAAACTTTTTGGTAGATTAAATACTAATAAATTCATGCCAAAAGAAAAACAACAAGTAGAAGACAAAAAACATTGTATACCAAATCCCATGTACATGTAGAAATAAAAAATTTTACATAGGAGAAACTAAGAGGAAGATGAAGATTAGACTAAAAGAACATGTAGCAGATTTAAAACATCATAGAATTAACTCAGCTTTTCTTGAACATTGTACGTTAAATAACTGCAATATAGATCAAAATAATGTAAAGATCCTACATAAAGAAAAAGAAACTTATAGCAGAAAATTTAAGAGTATAGAAATTCTAAAAAATACACATTGTATAAATAAAAACTTAAGTTTAAAAATTAACAAGAACTGGATAAAAATACTGTAAAAGATTTTTTAAAAAGAAAAAAATTTTGGAAAATGAAAAATTCTTTGAAAAATAAAAAGAATTTTTTAAGGATTTTAATGAGATGTTTTGGAAAATAGTTAAAATCTTACTTCGCAATTTTTAAATAAGAATGCATTGGTATGCAAATCATTATAAAAGAAAACGCCATTAGATGCTGAGAACTAAAAAAATGAAGTTTAGTTGAGTTGCTCAGGTAAGAACTATTACTAATATTAAATTAGGATAAAAATGATTGATTAAAGGAAAGTTTAATAATATAGATTGTATACAAATTAGTGCTAATATTAAAGAAGAACTGTGCTATATATCCATCATACAGTTTTCTCAGTGTTTCCGGAGACATTCTATGAATAAGTATGTAGGGATAAATTCAGTATATACAGTAGAGCATCGATTATCCGATTCAATTGGGGACTCAGGTTGGTCAGATAACTGAAAAATCGGATAACCGAAAAGAAGGAAAAAAATACATTATTAGTATAGTATATTAGGATATTAGTATATCCCATGTAATTAGTTTATTAGTATATCGCTATTAACCAATTTTGTGTTGAATTTTTATCGATGTTTAGCCTAACAATTTTTTTTTAAAATAATAATTGTCACTATTGTATCGTTAAAAATTATTTTAAATTTATTTTATTGCTCACGAAACAAACAACCACTCATAATTAGAAAATTAAGTTTCGTTTAAATATTGGCCTCCCTTCAATGGTCGAGCCGTTGATGCCAGCTAAAACATGCAAATATTTAACAAAAATAATAGTAAAGTAGCCAAGATATAGCCAAATATTGTAGTGCCATATCACTAGCGGACATTTGAAATTTGCCGACTGGAACGGTCAGTTAACTGATGTGACGGTTAATCGGGGGTCAGATAATCGATGCTCTACTGTAGTTTAATATCTAAGTTTAATCAATATCTTGGTTCTTTTGAAGATTTTTTTTTGGAAAGAAAAAAATTTTTTGGAAAAAATCTGGGGGAAAAAAAACAGTTAAGAATCTTACTTCGCAATTTTTGAATAAGAACACATTGTTATGTAAATCACCATACAAAAAGAAAAACACCACTAAATTCTGTGAGCTGAACATATACAATTCAAGAAAAGTGAAATTAGTTGACCTGTTTAGATAAGAACTATTATTAATATTGATAAAAAGGAAAGTTTAATAATATAAATTGTATACGAATTAGTGTTGATATTAAAGAAGAACTGTGCTGCATGCCTGTTATGGGTTTTTTTCGATATGCCAAGAAACCTTCCATGAATAAGTATGTAGAGATAAGTTCAGTATATAGTTGGATATCTAACTGTCAAGTATATTAACTGTATTACTTTTTATAAGACTTAATAGAAGTTTGAGAAGTCTTCAAAGCCCAGCAAAGTCTAATTGCGAAAGTCTAGATCTTGTATGTACCAAGTAGAATTAAATTTTCAGCCTGGTAATTGAAACGGTCCAATATATAGTGTATGATTTTCGCTTGTGGAAATATGTTAAAAGATGCCAATGCAATTATTTATGCATTTCTCATAATCATGCAATCGTCTTTCCTTGTGGTCGCTCTAGGGCATCCAGAGTCTGCTTGCCATGTTTATATATCTTAACATATTCATTGCCCCATTGTCTCCTCACAGTCATATCAGAACAGCCCAAATAGTAGATAATTTGACAAAATGGCCATTTTTCTTCTTTCAGACTGGTGATGTTACCTATCTCAAACTCCATCAGTTGTCTCTGTAATTTCTTTCAATGCATCATACAGGTATGCCTAACATTTTAAAACATCCAACAATAAGCACACTACAGTTATGAAAAGTGTGCCTCTGCAAGCCTTTTTATAGAATACTGAAGTATCAATTTTAAGGGAATCTGGTGGCATTATATGGCATGCAATCAGACCACAACTGTAATCATTTACATACCTGTCTGAGACATAGCTGCATGCCAACTTTTGCAACAATCAAACAATTCTACTTAGGTATGTAACTTTTTTGTTATAAATGTATTAATAATCTAAATTACAAGTCTTTCATAATTGAGAAAAAGTTAAAAATGAAATTATCTTAGTAAATGTTATTAAAGCTTTAATGTTATTTAATTAACATTTAAAGCTCTAATAATTAACTAATTTGGATATTAAATTTCATATACAAAAAAAATCTGAATTTAACAGATAAATAAATATGAGAACAAAATATGTAAACATGGTTACCTTTATCATGCTTTATTATTTCAATAAACCAGAATAAAGATAAGTTTGAAAAATTAGATTATTGGTAATCATAATAACTCTATATTTTATGGTACTGAATATTAGTAAATAGTAGGAAAAATTTAAAGAGATCTATTTAAGTTTGATATTTTAATTATCAAAGTATTATCTGTTTGATTAGCCATTTACAGAAATTCTAC